GGCAAACATTTTTACCGACATTTGATTAAATTTAAATATCCTTGCACCGAAATTGGCGAAAGCATGTCCTGTTATGTTGTAACACCAAATAATATAAAGCAAATTATGAGGGCCCGAAGAATGCGAATATCCGCGCTGAACGCCCAAAAAGATAAACTCATAATAAAATGCCCCCAAAAAATAACCAAAAAAAGCTGCTTGCGGAGTCTGCTGAAAATTATCGTTGAATATTTTCCCCGAAAAAAATAACACAGAGGGAAACTCAAGAAGAGGGCAGCCAAGCTCCTGAAAAACGCCGAGTGCTTGGATGCCGTAGTTTTGCTTAATTATTTTAATTATTTTTATATGCCGCCTACGCTTTTGCGCTGCAATTAAAACGCTGCGGCCTGGCCTTCATTGAGTGCCCATCACCCCAACCTAGGCTTCATTTTTTATTCCCAGGGTTTTTCGCTTTTTTCGTTTTTTTTTTTTTTGGGCAGGTGGAGTGGAAGTGGAATAGGAAGTGCCGAGTGGAAGGTAGCTGGAGGTAAAATTGGTATGCAAATGCTGCCTGGCAGGCAGCCCGTCACTGGCGAAAAACACAAAATGTCTGGCTAAAAGCGCTCGCAAAAATAAAAAAGCGGTAAACATAATTAAGGGGGCAGTAGGGGGGCTTCCATGGGGCGTACGGGTCGAGTGGCTAGTGATACTCGGTACCTACAATCGTGTGTAGTTTGTACTCGAAAATGCAATTTAAATGGCAGTTAGCAAACGCCCCGAAGTATGCAATTGCTTTTGATGGCTCGCATTGGATTATCATTGATGCCAATGAATCGAAGGATTCAGGAATCGGGCAGCAGACTCGTTCATTTGATTGGCAGCTCGCTTACACGCACTTTGATAGCCCTGACACACTCGTGGTCAAAATAATAGAGTCATTAACTTATTATGCTGCAAAAATTATAATGAATTTCTCTTAAAAAGATTATCGGAAACAAATCAATTTGCTATCGATTAATATTTAAAATAATTTATCTAAATCATTATAAAAAATTTGATAGTTTATATTCATAAGAAGTCACTCTAAATGTAAAAAATATAACAAACTAAAAACTCATTATTTTAAAATCACTTTAGGCTTCCTCCTCAGCATCCTTATGACCTCAAAAAGTCCAAATTTGTCTAGGTGTGTACCTATTATTTGAACCATGGGTGTGGACCCCCTTTGTGCGTGTGTGTGAATGTGGGGAGAAAACCTTGCATATCCTTTGATGCCCGACACGAGTGAAAACGACACTACATTAGCCTTATAGCAATTAACAAGGCTTTTCCCTGCTAATCCCATATGTACAAGTTTTCAGTAATTGAAACTGTCGACTGTCTAAGCCCAATTACAGTCTGCCAAGCCAGATACATTGTTTCCTTCTATGTGTATGTGTGTGTGTGTGTGTCAGTGCGTATATATGGTGGCCATAAAAATGACTGAAACTGTCGTAATTGAAAGCAACTTTATTATGCCGTTGCTGAAAATCCCAATTTAAGGCGCATTAAAATGGCCAAAATGTAAAGGATGTGTGGCCTTGCAGCGTTTTCAATACTCCAGCAGTCGAGTTCGCCGCAAGGCTTTGCTCTTTTATCCAAAAACTGAAATTTAATCTCGTGTTTGTGTGCGCGCTTGTGTGACAATCTAAACAAATAATGATTTAATAAAGAACAAGCAAGCACAAGCACACACGCACGCAATTCCATTGTACTATTGATACCATTGTTTTACGGTCTGCTAATCAAAACCAACTCGACCCGACCCCGCCCACGCAGTTTGCTAAAGGGAATGGGAATGAGGGAATGAGAGTCTCCTGAATTATAAATGAGACCTAAAACTCTCGTTTAATATTTAAACAAAATCAAATCAAGGAAAAAACGAAGGCTGGCGGCAGTCGGCAGGCAAGACAGCCAGTCAAACAGCCAGTCAGCCAGTCAGCCAGGCAGTCGGACACTGGAGCTTCCAGCTCGGAAATATCAAGTGGAAAATATCAAATTGTGAGAGGAGAGGTTGGGTGAGAATGGGTGGCCATGGCGTGGCTCCGAGTGGGCGTGGCGTTTTTCAAATGCGAAGCCAACTGTCTGACTGCGCTCTGGGCCAAGAGCTCGCCACTTAAACTAATTTGATTTCTATTGAGGCAAACAAATAATAAATAATGAATTTACATTTCTATGCGTGTCCGGGTGGATTGCGTTGCCATGACGGATCTCATTCTGAATGTGAATCTGACTCTGAATCTGTAAATGTAAATGTATCTGTATCTGAATCTGACTCCTGCCAGCGGAGAGGTTAAGTGAGTATGTAAGGTCGTGCGACTTGCATTATGTGCAGCATTGAGACATCTACTTCTATATGCCGACTTTGGTTTATTTTCCTCTGGTAATTAGGTGCACTATAAGCTCGCTACCTGATTAAGAACTAAGCGGATTACAGCAATTAACAACGAATTATGGAAGCGAATAAAATATGTTCCGCGCTATGGATAATTGCTACCAACAGGAGTACTCCTCGTCTAGTCCCTTCGGAATGAAGTGAAAACACTTTGACACTCGGTGTCAAGTTTCCAATTTCCATTTTCGACCTATAAATAAATCATGGGCCCAGCGAGTAAAGTAAGTGGGTTGTGAATGTGATGCCAGATAAAGCGAGAAAAAAAGTGAAAAATAAAAAACCTAAAAAATAAAACGAACAAAAAAATATAGGATGAACAAACTTAGGCAATAATTCTTCGACTGCTCGCCAAAGTACTGGAACTTATTGGAAATTCAATACACTAACTCTGCCGTCAGAGATTGGAATAGGTTGCTTCTAGAGAAACTGGTTCAAGACTTGATTTAATTCTGTAGAAGGTATCTGTGGGATAGTCGTCGTCCGGTCATCTTTTTGGGTTTTTCGGTTGGTTTGGTTTTTGTTCATGATTGGAGGTGAGATTTATTTACAAATGAGTGGATGGGTCACATCTCTGGGGTCGCAACTAAATACAAGTTTGTTTTGTAAATACAAATGTGTGGGTGCTCATTTGGGGTTCGGTTTTTGCTTTGTTTGCTATACAGAACTATACAGAACTATACAGAACTATACAGAATGGGAACAAACGCGAAACGAACTGTAGAAAAACTTAGCTGCGGCTGTTAAAAATGTACAAAATTTCAAATATGCAAATTTCAAAACCAAAATCCAATCAAATTTCTCATGTGTGTGCACACCTCTGTTTGTTATTATTCATCTATCGATATTTGATACACACACACACACATACGTTCTCGCACACGTATTTGAACTTTGAATTGCTCCAAATTGATTTGCAGTTTTTCAGTTTCAGTTTTTAGTTTGGGTTTTAGTTTTGGTTTTGGTTTTTGGGGTTTTTGGAGAGATCTGTTGTTGGAGTGGTTGAAAATGTTGAAGTAAGGAAAATATACATATCATATATATAAATATTGAATAGAGTTTGCAAATATATATGGATATATATTTAGATATATATGTAAATGTTTTGTAATAAAGAATATTTATGGAACAAACAATTTCATTTTTCAGTCTCGTTTTGTATTTTCTTTTGATATATTTACAAAATTTGTGATTTTCGCTTGTATTTATTAATTATTTACAGTTAAAAGGTGAAACTAAAAATGCACAAAACTGAAGAGGAAACCAAACGGAAAAAGAGAGAGAAAACTAAAGGTTCTTAACTAAAACTGGTTATAGTTTCCTGTTTTGCTTTTTCTCTTCTTTCGATTCGAATGGGGGTTTGCCTTTTTTTGTTACGATTCAATTGGATTTGGAATTAGAATTAGAGTTAGAATTAGAATTAGAAAGACTGCCACGCCGTGTTCTTTTGTCTAGATGGTTTTGGTATTGCGAATCTAGCGAGTAGACCTAATTGAATGTTTTGGCCTTAGGCTTTAGGGTTCGGTTTCAGTTTCAGTTTGGCTTTAATTGGTTGCTCTGTTGGGAGGGGTTAATCTGCTAATCGGCTAATACGCTTGAAAATCGCAACTAAGTAGCTTAATTGGATTGACACTAACTTTGGGTATTGGGTAATATTAATTAATAGTGGTACGAGTAGTTTAGGTTGTAACTTTTGCAACGTGTGTAGGTTGAGGAAAATATACAATTCAATTTTTCTTTTTTTTTTTTTTTGTTATTTGTTTTTTTCTAGGTGGTTATATATATATTTTTTGTGGTTAGATATGTACTTTTTGTTGATTGATAGATTGAGTGGTTATACGTTGTTGTTGATTGATTGGTTGATTGCTTGATTACTTTATTAAAGTGAGGTGAGTTCGAGATATACAGAGAGAGAGAGAGGTAGAGAGAGGACCCTTGCCATGACAAACGTAAACAAAGTAGAGTTATTTTTATTTTCTTTTCGTATGCAGAGTATTTGTTGTCTGAGACTATTTACAAGTTTGGTTTGGTTTGTTTTCGTTTTTTTTTTTTTTTGCTTTTTGTTTTGTTTTGTATAATTAACCAAAGATTGCATTAAAAATTATACAATAACCAAACTCAGGACCAAAGAAAGTTCGAATCAAAGGAAAAGAATGAGAAGAAAAACCAAAGAGAACTTATTATAAATACCAAAAAAGAATTCTTCAAAATCCTGCATTTGTTTTGTGTGTGTTTTCAAAAATAGTTATAAAAAATTGAGAACGTGTTTTTCAGTTTTCTTTTTTTTTTTTTTTTTGCTTTTCAGTTGATCTTTGGACAGAACGAAAAACTTTTGTATTCTCGTTTTGAGTGAAATGAAAACAGCGCTTAAATAATAAGGTTAGGTTAGTCATGTTGGTTAACTAAGGGAGCATTTCGAAATATATATATGTAATAATAGGTTGAAAATGATAACAGATAACTGGTATTTTGAGATAGCGAGTTAGGAGATAGAGTCTTTGTATTTTCATTTTAGTTTGCTTGCTTTGCTTATAACTTATTTTAGAGAGATAGATAGAGATATAGAGAAAAATATAAAGTTAATGCTTACAATCATTCATATCGTCATTGGATCTCATTATGTACTGATCCGATGAAGATAGTCTTGAATGCCCGTTCGTATTGGGATGAGCTCCCCCCCTATGATCACTTTGTTTATTAGAGCTACGCATCGCCAGTGCAGATGGGTTCGACTGATGCATATACATACTATCACCTTCGCACTCACTTTCTTTATATTGGAGCACATTTTTATGCTTCTCATAGATAACCAGGCAACGATGACATCCTTTCCTAAAAAAGTTTTTGGTTGCAACGAAAAGTTTTGTATTTTTGGTTTTGGTATTGGTATGGTATCGGTAGTTGGTAGTTGGTATTGTATCTATGATTATGGTTATGTGGTTTCTTGTTCTTGGGGGATGTGTTGGCTTGTTTTCGGGTTCTTGGCGCAATCGACAAATAAAATGGTTGGTAAACTAAGGCTAAGACTTTGACCGGGCATTCTGAAAGTCCCTCCGTGTGTTTGTGTGTAAATGGAAGGTATCGGAAACGGAGTATCTTTATAAATTTATGTTTGTTTGTATATATGTATATATACTGGGTGCAAAACAAGGAGCATCGAGGCGTTACCCCTTCGCCTCTACTTTCGATTTATTCTTTTGGCAAAAAACTATTACAAATGAAACATGTTAGGATCCCAAAAGAGCGGCCCAAACCGGAAAGTCCTGCAATATATTTCCAGTTTGTCCCCTCTTTAGATAGTCTTATTCGATTTGAAAAGCGATTACTAAGTTGATGTTTTATATCGAGTAGAAGTAATTAAATGATCATCGAAACGAACTCAAAGGACGTACACTTAAGAACGCAAGAAACTCACAAAATATATATAGATACGTTGTTGAAAAGTGATGTAAAAATATTCTGAATACATATTTATTCGTATATATAAAGTAGATAACGATTTAAAATAAACAGTTTCATCTTGGGTTTCTTTTGTTTGATTTTTTGATTGTGGTTGGGTGGGTGGGGGTTCTGTTAGTTTCCTAGTTGGTAAGATATATATATATAGTTGTTGATGGGGCACGACTTTTTTGTATATTTACGATATTTATTTGGTATACGACAAAAACTTGTACAGAACAAAATGAATGAAAATGGATTGGTCGGAGGGGAGGGCGTGGCAAAAAGTGAATTAAATATGAATACGAAAGCCCGCCTTCGCCTCCGGCAGCACAGCAAAAAGGCCAATACTATAGTTTTAAAGAGTAAAGGTAAGGCAGCGGAAAAATCAAAAAACATTTTCACATTTCAGCTACAACGGAAAAACTTAGCTTACGGATAAGGATTATTCATATGTTTATTAAATATTTATAAGCATAAACATGGCAAAACACAAAATTCAAAAAATAAACTTTACTTGCAAAACTCAATGTTTTGCATCGTTTTTTGTTCTTGTTTCTTGTGGGTAGAGGGGTACGTCTTGTTTTTTTCGCATTAAGGAAAGCAGCTTAAAAGGGTTTTAATTATTGTTTTTTTTTTACATTGCTCTTTACGACTAAAAAACATTTATACGAAGGAAAACAAAAGAGAAATTCCAGACCAAAGTAAGGGGAATGGCATTGAAAGTCGCTTTACAAAAAGCAATTTTCCTTTAAATGTCTTTGGTTCTCGTTTCGTATCGTTTCAAAATGAAAAGGCATCGGAAGGAAAATGGCAGCAGCAACGCAGCTGCTAAGTAGTGGAAAATGGTAGAGTAACATAGATACAGAGTAGTCAAAAAGGCAGTTTTCTAAATTAAAAACACAATACGTGGGTACGTAAAAAGTTTGATTTTAAGTTTTTTAGCTTTGACAACACGAGAGTGGGGGGGTACACAAACACAGGCACGGATATATCTATCGGGCGATATACATATATATACGTATATATAGTAGGGACACAGAGATAGATAGGGGGGTCTACTGGGTGGTTTTTGTCTTGGTACATGACTGGCTCTTGTCAAACATCCGAATTACGAGCAACGCGCTGCCTCCAAGAAAGTGCCCTGCACCCGGAGCAGATGGAGTGTGGATTGCGGAGGACATGGCGGTGCGGCATGGTGCGGCCTGGTGCGGCAAACAAACTCGACTCAAACCCGTTTCAAAGGCAAAAGTTAAGAGCAGCAGCTGGCAGACAGCGGCAACATCAACAACAACAGCGGCAACGACAACGTTAGCGATAACGTTGACGACAGGTTTTACTGTCAGTGTGAGTGAGGCGATGCACTGAGAGGAAATTATATCAAGATGCATCTTCTTTTAGCGTTACTTTGTTTTTATATCAACTTTGGACAGTGTTAGAGGAAATGAAACAGCTTCGAATGCGGATGATAAAATGTCTTTCCTTATGTTTTTAAGTAGTTTTTTTCAGTTAAGAGCAGAAACGGAATCTATTAATATGAATCAGATTTTTCAGGACATAAATCTCTAAAGGGAGATATCTTCATTATCTCTTAGCTCCCTTTTTCTCTCCGTGCACCTTAGTTTTACATGCCTCCTTGCCACTGTAGATGCCGCTGCCGCTACCACTCACCCCTCGCTGTTGTCTTTGGCCAGCACTCTACTCACTCCGATGTGCTGACTGGCTTCTTTTTAATGAGGTTAGTGCTGCATTTTGCCGCCCGTGCGGAGGGTCCTCAGCCTTACCTTAACACATTTTACCAAGCACACACACCTACCTCAGTCAGAAATGAAAACTTATTCAATTATAGGCACTCTTCGACAAAGGGACCAACACAAAAAATTCTATATATATATATATATAGGGGTAAGTAAGTGAGAGGGGGGTGAGTAAAAAGTAAACCAGAACATCTCATTTTCCTCGGCCTGTGCCAAAAACGTACGAAATATTTATTTCGCCAGCCAATGGATCGAGTATCGGGTTGAGATGTTAGCATATATATATATATATATTGTTAGCAGGCGGAGCGGGACCCCACCCAACTGGAATAAAATAACATTTGGGGGGATTGGGGTCCCGGCCGGAGAGATGGTACTTACTCGTCGACAATCAGATATTTGTTACCATCGGAGGCCGCACACCTGCCGCGATAGCTGAACTGGGAGCCCTTGATGTGTATGGATTGCTGATAGCCGGACAGGAACCAGGAGCCCTCCCATCGTGCCGGAAACGTGCAATTTGTGGGCGCTGCAAGCCAAAATACACAGTAATAATTTATTAATAAACGACTTAACCATTAATGCATTAAGATATTATATTCCAATTGCCTCCCCATGGACTGCAGATATGTGCTATATGTACGAGTATGTTCGGTTGATGTGGCCTCAATTGCGTTCATTGTTCATTTAAGAGCAGCATAAAAGAGCAACCGCAATCTTTCCCAATGAAGTGCGTTTCGAGGCACATTTATTTACGAGTAAGCAAGCCAGCGCTTGTTTATTGATAAATTTAGATTTCGGTTGGCCACTTTCTTTGGCTGCTCACTTCTAATTGTATTGTCAAGTTTCGGTGCCAAGATTTGTGGCTTTTTAATTTGTAAATTGTTTCAATTATTATTATTATGATTGTATTTAAGTGCGTGCGCATAAGGGGCAGCAAATTTACGACCCGTCATCAGGAGTGTGGGATAAACTCAAACATATATACAGTTGAGTAGGGTAGCTGGGGGTAGGGTGTCTGTTTTAAGGGAGGGCAGGCGCATAAATAAGTTGAACAAGCCAACCAAACAGGCAACCAAAAACTGCTCGTAATAATAATAATGTCACACACAGATACGCACACACACACACACACTCGCTGCCAGCAAAACTACCAAAATGGCAATTGTGAATATTAAAAAAAAAAAAGAAAAGGAAAAAACTGAACTGAACAGAGAAATGGGAAAGGCAGTAGCCAAAGTATAGAGAAAGAAACGTAAACGGAAAGTTAGCTAACGGCATGCCACACTCACACACACACACACACATAGACAGAGGCAATAAGTACTATATCCCATACAATGGGTATAGACCGGCACACCGATACATATAGAAAATGGTAAAACCACCCTCTGAGCCATACATATAGCTTAATGTTTGGGCACGATTGGCAGCGCCAGGGAGTTTCGGTTTCCAGTTGGGATAAGGATAAGGGTGGTGGGCAGGAACAGGAACAGGAACGGAGGCGGTAACGGAGACGGAGACGGTGGCAGCGATGGAGATGGTGATGCCAGTCCTGATGCCGATGGGGCGGTGGGTGTGGGAAAACTCGGAACTGGCAAGAACTCACAGATGGAGATGGGAGGCGAAGTCGGAGATGGAGATGGAGAAGGACGGTCCGAGTTCAGGCTACGCATTCAAATACAGAAAACTCGCAAGGAGAGACGAATGTGCGCACCCGAGCCAGAAACAGAAACACAACCAAAGGCACAGACCCGATGTGCAGTGAAAGAAAATCAAAAATGTTCTGGGAAGTTTTTCATTTTCTTTTAAAATGCTCTTTTATATGCTTTAATGATTTTAGAGAAAAATATTTCTTCATATATTTTGCCATAATTTTAACTTTAAATTTTTATTTAAGTTGCTGGTTTAAGCTGCTAATCAAATTTAACTTCAGATATTTGTTCATGGAAATATACTTTCCCATATTATTTTTTTGCTTATTCTCCCTAAAAATAGTTTTAATTCATTCAAAAGCATCTTCTCGAATGGCTTAGCTAAATCAATATTCAAACTTTCATTGTTTCGTTCTGCTTTTCATTTAATTTTTAATTTATTTTGTTTACCTAATGCTTTTTTAATCCCTAAACAAAGGCATGGGGTCCGAGACCAGCTGTTTGTTTTAGTTAAGATAACAAAAAGTGCATTTTCGTTGTTTTTGGGAACAGGAAAACTCTATACTCTATCTATTTTTGAAAGTTGGAATTTGCTCCACACTTGCTATCAGGAAGGAAACAGGAAACGTGCCCAAAAGTAGATTACATAAGAAAGAAGAAAAATATTTAGAAAACATTGCATAGCTCTATTGAATTGGAGAAATGGACAGTATTAGTTTTAGATAACTTCATAAGGACAGAAAAAGTGGACAACCAGATGGAAAAACAATAATTTTCCACAAAATTCACAGACCTCATGTTGTTAATTTTTAATTAAGTTATTTGATGAAACCTACATTTGAAAGAGAACATTTTCTCCCTGTGTGGTAACAGCAGCAACAACTACAGCAACACGGTGCCACACTCACACTAGCTACTCGCACACACTAACACACAGCCGTACTTACAGCGATACACATTTTATTTTATTATTCCTTTCCTTTCTTTTATTTTACTTGTTCCTTGTTGATTCCATTTTTTTCTGCTTTTTGTTTTTACATTTGCGGCAAACAAAAGGTACTCATGCGCAGGATCAGCGCAGCGCTCTGAACTCTGAGCCCCAACTGAGCCGCAGCTCAGACCTCCGACTATATATCTATATATATGTATATATATATATAGCTATAGGCAAAGCTATAGAAGGAGTATGTGTGTGTTGTCCAATGACTTGTGCTTTTTACGGGCCGCATTCGCTTGGCTGTCATAATGCGGCCCATACGCACAGCGGGCTGCCTGTTGTGTGAAAAGTGTAGCACACTTTGCCGGGCAGCCACCGCCCCGAACGGAACGGAACTCCGGGAGCGAACCCGTAACGCGGAGTCCCGAAAACCCGAAACGCGAAACCCAAAAACCCAAAAACCACCCCCCGCCGACGAATAATTGTTTCGCCAATTTCAAGTACCGTGAATAATTTTCCAACATGATTCAATACTTTTGCCTGAGTGGCGCAGCGAGTATGGAGTATTGTTCGTCCGACGTCCTTCGTCCTTAATTCGCTACCCCTGAAATATGCTGCAGGACAAGCTTAAGTAAATACAAGCTAAAAGCAAATATACGACATAGACCACGACGGACCAACCGACTGACTGTCAGCCAGCCAGGCAGGCAGGACAGACATTCAAACATTCAAACATTCATCGGAGACATTCAGACATTGAGACAGACAAGCGTACAAATGCGTATAGACAGTTGAAATGACGGACGCGAAAAGCGGGCACGGGGCTTTTCAGATATATTTTCGGTGTGTTTTTCGTTTGGATTAGAGTGGCTCAGAAAGAAACACACAGAACTGGGTGGGAAAAAGAAATACATTCATTTGGTGGGAGAAATGAAGAAGCTTAAGAGGAACAACAAAGCGAATTGAGCAGTAGAAAGGGGGAAACCAAATCAAATAAATATGCTCAAAGAGTTGCTCCTCACAATGGATACCGATCCCTATAAACTGACAGTAATCAGGTGCATTAATCAAAATAAATCTCGGGGAGCTTTGTCAGCTGTGAAGGGGAAGGTATCCAAGGCGACTTCTTGGATATATACTCGTACATATGTTAAACAAGCTGTAGGAACATGGAAATGCGTCACAGAATAATAATAGTCTTTTCTACATAATTTGATTTGCAATGTATTGGAAAATATTCCATATTTGGACTTCTAATAGATAATCGGCTGCCTTTCAAGAACCATTAAAAGTAATAACTCAAAATGTAATGTTTAATTATTAATTCACTGACTTAGTTTGTCTTCCGATGTTTTTTCCAGCATTCAATTAAGGCTGACAGCGAGAATATTTAACAGGATATTAATTATGCACTACTCCGTCATTTGTGGTGCTGTTATGACAAGCAATTTCCTATCGCTAGCAACGTACACTTATCTTATCTACGATGATCTATAATGACAACTTCAACGCGGTAACAACTCCTTAACCCAATTATGTTGCCCACACTTATGGGTGTGCGCAATTTGAAGAGGTCGTTCGTTAGGCTCTCCCTGTTTATGGTTAGGGGGTTTATTTAAGGGAGCTGAGGCCCATTACTGGACCACCCCTATTGACTGGCAATACGCACCCCTCCTCAACGCACAGACAAACACTTATTCCAGCACATAGCCAAACTCAAAGAGCATGACGCTTTTGCTTTTCGGTTTTGCCTGCGAGACTCATTTGCGTTTTGGGCTTGGGTCTGGATTTTGGACTTTCGTTTCGCAGAGGGACAGCTGTGTGCCGGCAGAGGCGTCAGCGGAGGTGGAGGATTAGGGGTGGGGCAACCGAAATGCTTTTGTCTAACTTGAGTGAATTATGGTCAGCGGTCGGTCGGTCGGTGGTCGGCGGTTGCTGGCTGTTTGTTTCGGGCAATTTCCGTACAATTTTCCATTGCATGTTGCTGTTGCCGGAGCGGCTGTTGCTGCTTCTCCGCTTGTTGTTTTCATTGTTTTTCCGTTTTTCTGTTTTACTGTTGTTGTTGTTGTCGCTTTTTTTTTGTTTTTTGGGTAAATTCGCTCATGGAGAAACAGTTGAAACGCATTATACGAACGCAGATCTGCGGTCACAAACTACTTATGGATTCAATTGAGCATGACCAAAAGAGGGGGTGGCCTTGTTGGTTGAGTTGCGAGTGGGAGGGATGAGCCGCCAGCTGACGCTCTGTTGCGAGTACAAATTATGCCACAAAAATTAAATGAAATTGGGGTTGGGGTGTGGGGTGTGGGGGGAAAAGAAGCTCTAAAGGTCCTGGGGTCCGAAAGTTGCTGGGGGGCACTTTCTTGGCGCGCCAAGTGAAATTATAAATTCTTATCATAGCGCTACTTATCGACGGGGGGCTGCTACTCACCATCTTGCCGACCGCCCCAGCCGCTGACGGACGTGGCCAAAAGCAGCATTAGCAGCGGTCCCAGCCAACTTTTTGTCGACGTAATGGCGCAGCTCCTGCTCCTGCTCCTGCTGCTTGCTGTTTTCGTTGTTGTCCCCGCTGGGAAGCTGGATTCGTGGCTGTGGGTGTGGGGTCGAGTTGGAGTATGGGTAAGGGTGTTGTTTCCGTTGCCCGGCAGCAGATGCTGCCACAAGAACATCAGCCACGTAATGCCGGAAAGTTCCGCGGCCTCGCCCCGCCGATCCAGACTAATATCACCGTTATAGTTAAAGCACCTACATTCATCATTCTCTTCATCATGCGGCAATGCTGCACCAGTTGTGCCCCTTGCCGTTGTTTTTGTCGTTGTTTGCGAATTGTGCGCGGTTATCGTTGCCGCCACTTCGGCTTCTCCTTCTGATGCTCCTTCTATTGTTGCTGGGCTAGTGCTGATTGGATTTACCTGGGCCAGCGACGCCGCAGACGCATGACTTGGTCCTTCGCGCCGGATTCGCTCACGTCGCCAGCATCGCTTGCCACATTCCAAGACGCCGCCATCCACCTCCATGTCCCCGCTAGCAATAGTGGGCATAACTAATTGCGACGTCTGCCGGAGATCGGTGCAGCTATGCCCCGCTGCGGCCACGGGTAACTGAATACCCGGCAGCAGGAATTTACCAGTCCGCGAGGAGGAGACAGAAGAGGAGGACATTGTTGCCGCTGCAGGTCCTGTTGTTATAGTTGTTGTTGCTGCTGCTGGTGTCAACGTCGCCGCTGAAGCATGTTTATCATAATTTTTATGTTCCCAGCCGGTCGGACAACAGCAGCTGCCGTGGCCCAAAGTCTGGCTTCGACTCCGACTCCTGGTGCCGGCCGCAGGCACATGCTTACATGGATAGCAGAAAGGCGGTAAATAGATTAACGACGTTGTTCCTGCTCTCGTCTTGGATGTGGACGTGGAGCTGCTGGAGCTAGAGCTGGAGCTCGCTGTCCTTAGTGCCGCCTGCATTGGTTGCTGATGTGGCTGCTGATGCTGATGCTGCTGCTGTTGCTGCTGTTGCGTGTCCTGTGGGGACAGAGACAAGAGTGGAATATTTTATTATTATAAAGCACAAACATGCTGGCTGAGCAAAGTAAATATGATATAAGGTGCCGGCGAATTTGAATTTAAAATAAAGCTTCACCCCAGCAAATGTTATATACAAATAATCCCACAAGATTCATTGTTCGGCCTTCCAAACACGCACCAAAGAATACAGTTGCTCTGTCGTATATAAAACTTCCTCGACGGCATGCATTAAAAAGCAATAAAAATAAATATGGGCTCTGGGAAACCGACACTCCTCCTCCTCCACTCCACTCCAATCGAAATAAAACTTCCAACGATGCGTAAATCAAAAATCACGCGCTATAAAAAAATTAGGCACAAATTTATACGCATCGATTTATGATATCTTTCTATGTGTGTGTGTGTGTGCCCCAAGAATGTCTGCATCGCCCCCGACGCACAGCCATTGCCAGCATTTCCTCCGTTATAATCTTTTCCTGCATTTAGCGCCTCCAGCTAGGGGGAAAGACTCGACTAAAATAAAAACCACTTGAGAGATTTTTCGATTCTTGGCATGTGCGTGAAGCCGAAGCTACCATGATAGACCTCCAGACCTCGGAAACTCTTAATTTCCATATCGCATGCATGCGTAAATATTTTTTCCAATTCATAGAAACTTAATTGGTCAGTTTTATGGGTCGAAAAGATGGTCTTAAATTTGATATTGAATTGGAATTAATTTTGGACTCATTCCTTTTCCAAAGGGAGTACAACTCTTTTGACAAATTACAAATTACGAATGTCAATCCATCAATTTGATTGGGTGTGAAAGTTTGTGTATTAGGAATTTGATTTTTCAAGAGAATGTTCATTAAATTTTCATTCATTTAACGACTTTTTAGCTGCCAGAAATCTATTCAATTTAACCATCAACTATATTGGATATTTCCTGAATGCTATTTAGGAAAGATCTGGTATCTGGTATAAACTACACTCATCATCATCCCAATACTTTTGATATCTTCTTCATAACCCCCTTTTTAAAACAGTTTTTTGTTACGTTGACTTACGATTATATTATTATTTTTAATTATTCAGCACTTTCCTGCCTAACCTGTATGCTTTTACCTACTCACCTTTCAAAATCGATTATAAGAGTACACACAGTTTGCCTATTACATGAATGTAACATTCACTCCTTGAGAAGGCTGGAGAAATGAAAAGCTTTTCCCCAGCTAACGCCAGGAGTCGCCAGGCCATGTGTCATTTATTATGTCATGAAGGTTCTTCTTAGAAATTCAGCATGCTCGAAAGAATCTAAATCAAAATTAGTGGGGGAGAAACTTGCCCGAGCCAAGCGGACCAGCTTGTGAGGCATAATGCAATTTTGATGTTGTGTAAGCGCTGCTCTTAGCCCATCATCTATGCTAATTAAGTTAATTAAAAAGTACCAGCAAAGTATTTGCACTTGGCCAACTTCACGTCATAATCAAAGTGGAGGCGGCGGCGCATCGAATGGAAAATGAAGCCCAAGTCATGTCAAATGCTCTTAAAAAGCCAGAGCCTCCTGCCCTTCCCAACCAGAGATACTGGCTGGATATGAAGATGACGGTGACGAGGGAAATTCTGGAGATGGAGGTGGAGATGGAGATGGAGTGATGCTGCTGCTGCTGCCGGAGATGACTATGTTGCCATCCACACTGTGGAGTGTCTTTATTTAAAAATGAAGAGACCGGAGACCAACAAAAAAAAACCAGGCCAATTATAAGCTTCATCATTAATTTGAATAAAATTAATTCTCCCAAACACACACACACACACACACAGAGACAGAATGAAATGAAAATGCCACAAAAGAAATGTGCCACAAGAAGAATAATAAGAGAAATATGTCCAAAATGGAAAATAACGGGGGCGGAATGACAGCAGACGGTGGCAAATAAAACATTTAGGCGGAATTATAATTTTACTTTGCTTATTTATAATTTACGTTTAAAATGTGAAACACCTGACAGCTAAAGAGAATTTATGTTTGCATGTTTTCCATTAATTTATTTTTCCGAGCCGCACCCCACCCAAGAAAACTGCCAAGACCCACAACTCCAGCCTCGAACTGCACGAAAATGCACAGCAGGAGGGTGCTCTCGGGGGGGAGGACAGGAGGCGTCCGGAGGAGCCAGAAGACGGGCACATTTCGCTATCACGTTTGGACTATAAAACAGGCCAGCCCAGGCCACACAGCCCAATCCCAAGCCTCAGACCCATTCCAAGTCCCAGCCCCCGAACCATGCTGATGATGTTGTTGATGACGTGGAGCGCCGCTGCATAGCACCGCCAAAAATGGCAAACGGGCAACCCAAGACACTGGTCCCGACCAGAAAGGAGGAGCACAACACTGGGAGAAACTAGGCGCTCTAAATAGATAATATTGAGAAGATTTTATACTGATAGGGGAAAGTTTATAGTACAAGTATCCTTCAAAGCTTTTAATGCTATGTTCTTAATAAGTGGCGCCAACGTAGAGCCCAAGAAGTGGGCTTGAAATTTTAAAGCTAATGATCTTTATCAGTGTTAAGCAAAACTTGGAGTAAGGGAAGTCAGACTTGAATAAAAATGTTTTCTTATTGTGCAGATTTTCTTAAGAATTACACCTTTTGTGTCTTACGCGGTGTCCTTATCTTCATAACTAGTTTAAGAACTTGATGGTTAACTCAAAAATCTTGGTTATTATTGAACTATTGGTTAGGAAGATCCAATGGAACAAAATTGGGTTTTTTCCAAGTGCATCTCTGGCACAGACACAAAGACAGAAGGAGTCGGAGACGTCTCGACGCAGTGCAAAAACTTGTCAAGTAAATATAAACGAAATGTGTGGCACGGCACCCGGCCGGGTCCGTTTCGTTCCGTTCCGCCTCTACTTGCTTTATTTTATTCCCATTTTATTATTATTTTCACCAGGCCAAAAAGACGCAGACGCCGCAGCAGCAGCAGCAGCACTGGCAGCAGCACCAGCTAAAGCAGCAACACACATAAAAAATATTTTTATGCAACATTTTTATGATTTCCGTCTGGCTGCGACAGCGGCATGAGCACAAAGAAAGAAAACTTCGAGGCACACGGTCCGCTCCGATTCTGTTTCTGTTTCCGATTACGATTGCGATTGCGAGTCCAAGCCATCTCCTTCACCTGGTTTCAATTAAAAGACACTTTTCTTTTATGTGACGGCTTATTTCTCATTACGTTTGCCATGCCCATTCTTTGTTTTTCTTTTTATTTTCATTTTGTTTCATTGGAATCCGGTTCTAGGATGCCGAATCCGTATCCGAATCCGAATTGAAATTGGAAAATTGAAAATTGCGACTGGGGTTGGCTGTTGGACTACTGCTGCTGCTGGTGTTGACGGCCAGCTGAAAGTTTTCTGGAGGGGCGAATGCGAATGTGAATGGAATGGATGCGTTCGCTCCCTTGTCTCACTTCATCAATCATTAATTTCGTTTATTTTTAGTGAAAATAATCACTTTGGGCAACATATGTGACCGAGCAGCAATTCGCATGTGTTTCCCGAATGGGAAACTTGGTGGCTGGGATGGGTTGGACTTTTGGGGCGGGCGGTTTCGGGCAAGATACTGACAAAGAGTCTGGAAGACTATACTCCTTGCAATTATCAAATGGACTCTGTACCCTTCGAGGTTGCGTGATGCTCTCTCTCTTATTTTCGGTTAGGTTAATGTGTGTGAAATGACTTTATTGGTTTTTCAGGTGGTCTGAGCCCGGGTAAGTGATGGCCTTGGCTCATGCCACTGTCTATTATGGACACATGTGTCCCGGGTTCTAAGGGTGGGCGGATGGGGGAGTTAAGTGCGACTTAGATGGGATAATATCGCAGACAGTCCTAACCCCTCTTCGGCTCTGCCTTAAAAGGGGCTGAACAATTAAGCAGTACACAATTTGGTCAAATTGATCGATAATGTCGGACATCGAAAGTAACTACTCTATAGGGAAATAAAACAGGCTATTAAATTAAGGTTTGTTTTAGAATCATTATTCAATGTATGAAAGACAAATATTAGATCTTTGCTTTAACCCATTTTAAGAACTTAGTAAATTATTTTACCCTAAAATGGTTGAGAATAATGATCTACTGTAAAGTATAAAAAATAAAGTACATCAGATATTTAAAATTAACCAAACCAAACAAAGTTTTTAAGTTAAACCTAGAGACATAAACTTATGGACTCCAAGCATATTCAGTTTACCTTCTAAGCCTAACCATATTATCTTATTTTCATACGCTGATTAAACCAGATTAGCTAAGAATTCTGTTTGCTTGTAATATTTTATCTCGGCAATCAATCTAAAAAATGCCCAGGCCCCACCCAAGTTAATTGGGGCAGAATGTCCACATGAGTTAGTAGTAAGTCTGAGTGTATTTATGCCGCTTTTATCTGTATCTTTACTTATTTTTTTTGTACCCCTGTTTATGTGACACATCTGCATTGCCGCATACCCGGCAGCCACCTTTTCACAACTTATCGTTGCGTTTGTCAACTTTTGCACAACGCTTCCTGTGAAATACGTAAATCCTTATTCACCCGAATGACTCAGAGGCATTTCTTATCTCGCCCCAGAGCAACGAACTAAGCAATAAATATAAATAGAGAATTTTCACATCGGGCAAACAGGCAAACAACAAACAAACACACTTCCGAAACCCACACGCACCTCGAGGTGAATTAATCAACAACTCCGGAGTTGCGTCCCAGAGTAATTCCCCTAATGCAATACATTTCCGCTGTGCTGCGGGCTGCTATCTGGTCGCTAGTATCTAGTATCTGGTATCTGGTATCTGGAAAAGCCATGCATATAATACAGCAACATTGGTACCAACATGATTTTTATCTATTTGTCGATAGCATAAATATGACGGCTGGTCATGAAGAGCGGGAGTAAGGGGAAGGAGGAACTAGGGCCAGTGCAATTGCAGTGCGCACCTCATTGAACTTTTCAGACAAACACAATTTGTCCGATAAGGAAAAAAAGCGTCTACACGACACCCGCAAAAGGGGCAGCCAGCCAATGGGGGCGGGGCGGTCGAACGGCGCGCGCACTAATGGCCACCATTAATAATTGAAAAACTGAAACAGTCGAGCATGTGAGCAACTGAAGGATGATGGCGCTACGTGGGGGGTGAGTTGAGATGAGAGGAGGGGAGTCAGGAGAGGAAAAAGCAGAGAGCAGAGGGGAAGAAGGGAAGAGGTTGGGTCGCCAGTTTTAGGGGTTGGGGTGACAAAAATCTATAACCAAAAAAGTTATGAATAAGCGAACGAGTGGAGAGCAACGACGGCGAGTCGGTGCACAGAGAAAAAACGGATATTGGCAAAAGTAATTCAGCCAAGTTTAGTTAAGCCAAGTTTATATTATTAAAATTATTTCTGAACCGGGGTTCCTTGTTTAGCTAAAAAAATATCTTACTATTTACAATTATCTTAAAAAACCTTCTAAAGGCCGAAAAGGGAATCAAGTTATGAAAATAAACTTTAAAATTGAAAAAAAATTGACTCTTATTAAGACTCATATATTTCACCAAATCAGTTTTAAAAATGCATTTTAATGGAACATCTATTTTATATCTTAAAAGTTCAGTATTTTTTATAATATTTTTAGAAAAGTGAAAAGCCCAGTTAGGTCAATGAATTCTAAAAGGAGCTCCAAACACTTATTTGTATTAAAATTTAATTTTAATCTTAATATGCGTCTAGCAAAGTTAAATAGTTTTAAAATTGCCTTTTAAAAAGACTCTGCAGTGCAGTATGATTTCTTAAATAAAGTTCAGCAAAGGCGTATTTTTATCAGTCCTAATAATAATGATTCTTAATCGAATATTGTTAACCTTTTTGATTATTTTCCTAGCAAAATAAATGGAAAATTGATATGCAGCCACACATTTTCGTTTAGTGCACTGGTCCAGTTTGAAAAGCCCAATAAGCCAAGGGATCTTAGAAATAACCAAATTTTTGCTGTGTACAAACCTGTTCTTCTCTGCCTTCGTTGTTGCTGTTGTTGTTGCTGGGGCTGATGCAGATGTAGTTGTAGTTGTAGTTCATGGCTAGCTGATGAAGCTGCTGCGCTGCAGCGACGCTGACGTCGCGGCGACAATGTTGGAGCTGCTGCTGCTGATGCTTCCTCTTCTTCGTCTCCTTGTGCTGAAGCTGCTCCTCTTCTTCTTGTCGTTCTCCTGGTTTTACCCGTTCTTCTTGTTGTCTTGGATTTGGTTTTGATTTTAGATGAAAATGCAGCAACAGAGGAAATCGCGTGTGAAACGCAGCCAACCAGCATTGGAAAATGCAAGGAATAGTTGCCGTTCTTTTCTTTTTGGTTTTCCTTCTTTTTTAACTATTTTGTGTGTTTTTTTTTTGAGAGTTTCTGCAGAGTTCCTCAGTGATTTTTCGTTGAATTTTCCGCTGCAGGGCAGCAGAAAGCGCACGAAGCGAACCGAAACTGAGACTGAAACAGCGATGGTCGTGCAAAATCGGTTATTTCTGTGGAAGGGGGTGGTGGTGGGGTTGTGGTGTTAAAATATTGGAGCAAGGTGTTTCCAAACACACACAGCTGCGGCGAATTGGGGAAATTCGCCGGCGTTCTCTGCGCAAAAGCAAAGCGGCGAAGAGAGGAGAGCGGCACTACATTTGCATTGTTAGTGGCGTTGATGTTGTTGTTGTTTCCACTGCTTCTTACTGCTCCACCACCATTCGCACAGTTATATTTCCTCTATGTTGGTGTTGGGGATCTGTTTCTCTCCCACTCTGGCTTATACTCTCTCTCTTTGCCTCTCCTTAAGTCGCCCCCTCTCTCTCACTCTTGCTGTGTCAATCGAATTAAAACGAATGCGAATAATTGGGTTTAGATACTTTTCCAGCAGACAAAGTTGTTTTTTTTTGCACTTTTTTATTGATATTAACAAAAGAGTATGAGTCGAATCACAAACACACAGAGCACACACAAGGATTTTCTTAGCACACAGTTTTTCCTATTTGGCAGTTTTATCTCTTTCGATTTTCCTCTCGAATCGCTAGACAATTTTCCTGACGCTTTCGAACCGATTTTCACTTGGCTCTTTGTTTTATTGAATTTTCACCGAGACGCTCTCACAGTCAGAGAGAATTTTTCGCTTCTGCTGCAATACACACCACCTACGAGCCAGGGGAAATTGTATCTATGGGGCTGTGTATCTACGCGGCACGCGCTACACGTCCGCTCGGTTCGGGTTTTCGAGAGAGAATATATCTTTTTCGTCCGTGACCAAAGATTCGTATCTCAGGGATGCAGTGTGACCGTACACCAGAGATGCGAAAACACCAAATTATTATCAAGGACTTTAACCATTTGGCAGAGCATTGTCAGCATAAATGTACATTATTGGCGCAAATAATAGCATTTAAAATGGAAAATATATAATATAAAAAGAAACTTATTGCATTTAATTAAGATAAGAAATGAATTTTTTTACTCCAATTTAGCGTTATAGAAATTATTATTACTAATGTCTTTTAGCATATCAAATAACGGCATAAGCAATCAGACATGCCGCTGTATTCGCCTCATAAACAGTGAGCCAGAAAAGTATTCCTACAATGTGTGGTAGACTGCAATTATAAAGGCATAACATTTCTAGAAATTTCAAGCTTAGTTATGATATATTTAAGATGATATAATACTTGTTTGTAATTAAAAAAAAAAAGTTTTTTATATAGTAAAATAACATGTTTAATCTTATGTTTTTTATTTTACAACCGAATTATGATTTTAGCAAATTTCGGCAGCTATAAATGTTATTAAACGTTTCGAAAAAATTTATTTTCTGGTAAGGGTAGTTTGGCTTAGCTTATCTACTACATCATACTTACTTTCGCTTTGGAAACATACATATAAGATATTTTTTAAAAACTTACTGCCTACTATTGAAATTTCAAATGGTCTCTGCGGAGTTTCACAAAAACCACGCCAATGGTCTTCAAAGTTTTTAATATGATAACTTACTATTTTTTGCAATAAGTCATCGACATATTTAAAAAAAAAAGTTTTTATTAAGATTACCTTAGTTATCTTTTTTATTTAATTGTTTCTAGTTAAAGAAAACTTCTTGTAGCCACTGTCTTAATGCAAACTCATGCACGCAATAACAGATTAATATACCGCACTTAAGGAATTTATGAGACACATTTCAAGTGGCCCGAAAGCTGAATCAGCTTTTTTGTCATTCCACGCATCTCGTTCCCCGCTCGAAGAGCGATTTGTATAAACAAGACCCACAAAGTTTACCCGAGAAATTAGCAGGCCCGTCATTGTGTGCGATATCAATTTACGAACTGGCCATGCAACAGGAACAACAAAGGGTTGTTGATATTAGCGTTCGTTGACATACTGGGAACCAATAAAGAATATATCTGTTTATAAAAACTACATACTTGCCCTTGGAAAAGTTCCGATTCTGAATGGGGATAAGCAAATAAGTAACTTATGGAATGTTTAACAATAAATATGATTTTTACCCTTCTTAATTCTAGTAATCTTTGCGTTTTTATACAAATTGCTTGTATGATTCTCATAAATATGTAAATTTATTAAACTATCCAAATATGTGTAGAAGTGTGGTTTGTGCTCTTGTCTACTTCCCAAATAAATACTGCTCATGGATAGTAAAAAATAATTAGGATACAAGAACTATATTTTTACCCCCTTAAAATTATTAATATTTCAAGAAATTAAATTAAAGATTCATTGAGAGCAAAAAAACAAATGACATCAGAAAACCTCATCTATATACACTAGACTAAACCCCCCTATAAAATATCATTTCATAATGCGATGATATTAAAAAAAAGTTAGACGTAACATAACTTAAATTATAATTTGTAAATTCATATTTAAAATACAGCTCAAGAATAAACTTTAAATCAGAAAGAGATGCTTAGTTAACCTTTACGAAAACTTTTCGTAACACCTGAATATTGAAATGATTTTAAACTGAATAGAGATACACTATAAATTAAGTAGGTACGTCAAATTGTTTGTAAGCTGGAATGGCGAAGATGTTAATAAGTTAGTTACTGTCCAGATTCTTTAGTTCTAAATGTGGAAGCCTTAGTCAAAGTCTCCTTGAGTTCCACTTTGGGCTGATTGCTGGTGTCGTGGTTGTGCTGTTGGTTCTTAATGATAAGTTCCCCAGTCACTGAGCAGGTGATGATCCGAGCAGCACAGCGCATATACCTATTCCGGGCACAAAGCCAATACGTCTTGGAGCCACGTGAGTTGTTGCGATAATACCTTGGAAATTAAAGAACTATATCAAATATTCCTTTGGGCAGTTGCTTAAGGACTTACTCGTATCCACCCATCAGGAGCTTAGGTTTTCCTTTGGTACCCTTGACAATCATTATTCCTTTCCTACGGATAATATCTGTAAGTAAACGAACAGTATTTGATGAGTTAGTATGAGTTCTTAAAACGTCATGGTAGTTACATATTGCTGACACGCCTCTTAAATATCTTCTTTATTTTCTTGTAAATCCATTAACACTGATTATCTAAAAACAGTTACCTTAAAATAAAAGTCAACTAGTTGGAAGATTTGTATATAATAACTTGATTGGAAAATGCTTTTAGATTTATTCAACAATTATAAGAGCCTTGGGTCACAGATGCGAATGCTTTGAATATTTCAGCCGGTAGACCTCCTGGCCATTCTTCAGTACGTGGGTGGTGGCCCTGACCTTGCAGTTGGAGCTTCGATAGCGGGCACAACGCCAGTTGATGCTGCTCTTCAGCTTGCGATCCATTACGAACTCATGCTTATCGATGACCAGCTTACGCTTTTTCTTGCGGGTGCAACTAAAGCTGGCCAAATGTGCCGCACCTGAAAGGCAGAAAGTAAATTATTAGCAAAAGACACTAAGCTTAACTTAAAATGTAACTAAGAAACATAAGCATTAAAATAAACTTAAATGAGGATTGGATTGCTTTGAGTTTATTTTTCATACATGAGCTTCACCTCCACAAGGCATTACTAAGAATTTGGAGATCAAAACATAAATACTATTTACATTAAAGGTAATGTGTTATACATATAATCCTAACATAAATTTTTTCAATAGGTAGATATTCGAAAAGGTAGAACAAATTATAAATCAAAAATTTTTCTTTTTAAACAAAACTGAATCGAATTCAAAAACTATATGGCCCCTAAAAAATCACCCTTGAAAGTTATCATTACTGCAGCACAGTGTATTGCCTTCGCTCTTGGCCACAGACCGGATGATTGTGCTTGCTTGAGTGGACAATTTTCCCATCCATCGTATGGACCCGACCGTGGCACTTGAGTTGGGTTGTGTACTGTGTGCAGCGCCAGTAGGTCTTCCCATTGATGCATTTCTCGCGAACAAAGAGGTACTTCTCGTGCAGCAGCAAGGTGCGTCCCTTTTGACTAACCACATAGCCAAGCTTGGAACCTAGAAAATACAAGACAAGAATTAATAGTTAGTATAGGCTTAACTTAAGAAATACATAAAAAAAGTTAAATGTGTAATGAATTTTCAGTTAAATGAATATATCCATTTCATTTGGCCTAACAATGATTTTCCTTTGCATTTATTCTGAATGATTGATCAACTTTTCGCTTGACTCTAACGTACACCTAATGCTAACTATGTGTAGTATGCTTCTTAAACGTCGTGGGTGAGGTCATGCAGCTCCTCTTCCTGAAGATCAAAGTTTACGCCGCCTGCGCCCTCTATCTCGCAGTCCATCTTGGTAGACATTTGGTGCGGTTCCCGCAGCGTTTGCGCCTTGCTGGAGCTATACTTGTTTCGTTTGAGCTCCGCGTGCAGATGCTCCGCCTTGTTGATAATAAACTTGGGCGGCGTCTCTTTTAACATGGTGATGCGGGCGGGGCACTTGATTTTCTTGGTGGCCATAGAGCTGCATCGCCACAAGATCTTCTTCTTGTTTTCGCTCATTATCAGAAAACGAATGCCATTGGCCATTATAGCAGGCCGACCTCTTAGCGATTGTGTAAAGAAGATCAGCACATCCTCTGGGTTGGGTACCTCGTCGTTAGCCAGTACAACTGCAAAAAGACAACAAATTGTATTAGTTATGGTCGGAAATACTGTGAACTGCAAGTATATTATGTAAGCATTTAAAAAATTGAACAATTATATTGGTTCCTAATAGGTTTCTTCTTGTTTTATTAACATGCTTAGCGACAGACTCTTAAATTACATATCGAACATGTACGCCATGCTCTGCGGCAGACTCCTCACGTTGGACACTACCGGTGTCCTCATCCTAGGACCTACTAGCGCTTCAGTCTTCTCCTTCCGCTTCGGTCGCAAATGGCAGTGTTCGTGTATCTGTCGGAAATCATTCGTATTCGTTTTGCTCATGCAGATGAGAACCGGACACTTGGTATGGCGATAATACCAATGACAGCGCCAGTAAAGATTCGTGCGGTTTATGTTGTTCCTGAAGAACTTCATTCCATCCAACCAAAGCAGCTGCCCTCCGCGCTTGGATACGGAAAAATGTATTTGCGGATTATTACCACGATACTGTCCATGTCCGTAGTCGAGCTCTGAAAGAAAAGCGGATGAAGGAGAAATAATTTAATAACTTTTTCTAATTCGTAACAAACAGTTAGCTAAATTGGTTCGTTAGATACATAGAGGTATTGAAAAACATTTGATGTTGCTTTGCTTTAATACACATATTTTACACGCTTATGGACTAGTTGCTAAGGAGTAGATAATCGCAGCTAAAAGTCCTGGTTTCTCAGTTTTGATTTTAAATCAAGTAGCGGTGGCGGCTCTCCATGAGCTGTGATTGGGCGGGATTCAAGATCTGGATCTGGAACTGCTCCACGATCCACATCAGCCTCCGGTTCTGCTTGTCCGTCATCTTCAGCGGACTCTTGTAACTTTGTTTCTCCGCCCGGCAATGGCTTTATTTCAATATCATTGCTTTCCGTGTGCTGGTGCTGATGACAAAGTCGGAGGATTAATGTGGACTCGTCGTGAATGGCAATGGCGGGACAGCGCTCCTTGTAATAGTTCCGACACTTCCAGTACTGCAAATGACCACGCTTCTTGTTCCGGAAGAAGCGGAAGCCATTGATTACCAGTAACTTGCCACCGTTCTTCTTGGAGTCCGCGAAGTCAATGTGAAAGGCTGTTAAATGAAAGAGAAAGTCCAGATTAGTACGAATATATATTGATTACTACTAAATCAGCATCGCAGTTTAAACCTAGTCAGGGAAAAATATGCAGTTCATCTTAGAGTAGATTCAAAACAAAATGATTTATTCAAAAGTGGCTAGTGAAAAGTCTGGACGCTTTGGACATTGTACACTTAAATGTAATCCTATTACGAGTCCAAAGAGAGGGCCTTCTTCTCACTCTTTATGTAGACGGGCAAGTTGACGTTGTTGTTGGGGAACTTCCTACTGTGATCGTGCTCGTAGGTACACTTGATTATGCGGGCTTGGGAGTTCTTGTCCATGGCAGTAACCACACGGGCTCGGCAGACAGTCACATCCTGTTGAATGGACGAGGAAACATGTCTTTACTTTTATATTGCAATTAGTAATTGTTTCTAAATTAAAAATAAACAACAAATATACTATATGCATCCTAACATCTTGACTCTAATTAAACATTTCAGATGTCTGATTTCTTTACAAAACATCGTGAAACCTTTAAAAAAACATTAAATTTATCATGGTTTATTTATTGTAATTAATGATTTTTTTTTGTCAAGTCTTACCTTCCTTGAGCAGATCCAGTAGGTTCGGGAGGCTGAACATCGATTTTTGACAAACTTTTCATTCTGGAAGAGCAAAACAGTCCTTCCCCGCTGTCCTGTGCCAAAAACAGCCAGCTCTGTAAGTATTTAACAAATTATTAGTCATTGTGATTAAACTGTAGACTTTTTCAATGTTTTTATAAAAATAATTTAGCTAGTCTAGCTTTTGAACAAAGTTGTGAATGTTTATTGGTGGTTAAATAATGTTTGTTCATCTACATATGGTTGTGTACACCCGAAATGGCCACATAAGTGGGTTTCTCTTTGTGGGTGATCATGTAAACTTTGCAGTTGAGTCTCTTTTTGGCACAAATCCAATAGATGATGCCATTGTAGTTGGCCCGGCGTTGATAGCGTCCACCGTTGTACATCAAAACGGCACCGGAGCTGGTCCGTTCATAACGGATGCGATCCCAATCATCCAGGGTGCGGAAAGACTTCTGCTTGCTTGCCAATCCACAGCGAACTATTTGACGCCCTGTGCCTGCAGTTTTGGGCAAGAAACTTTCATTTCCGTAGTCGGCAAGGATACTTGGATTGAGTTCAGTTAGTCCTGCAATGGAGAGAGAATTGATTTTGCACGGTTAGTAAAGCTAATAAATTATTTTTTATTTTACAAAATAAAAGCAACAGAAATAATAAAATTAATAATAAACGTCAAATAAATAAAAAGACAAATAAAAATTTATAATGGTTTTTATTAAAAATCAAAAAGCACCAATATTAATCTAAAAATAAATAAAAAACAATTAATTTACTTTCAAAGAAACTTAATGAAACACTCACCTGAGTTTCCGGAAGTTAGAGGTAGACTAAATACTGTTAATCTGGGCAGGAATATTAAAATGTATATTGCATTGTAATGCAAGTGAACAATTGGAAATAATTGTTTATTTCACAGAACGAGAGCTTGGTTTGGAAATGATTTAGTTTAATATAGATTTCTGTTTCTAGAAAGTATAATCTATTTCTATAACTTTTTGATCTACGGGTGATTATGAACTCCGCTGACGGCGTATCGGGACTGGCCATTGGGCAAGATGTGCGTGATGACGCGGGAGCGACATTGCTTACGCCACTTGCTGCACTTCCAGTAGACCTTATCCTTATAGGCTGCGTTGCGCAGGTAACGATGCTCGCCGCAGTGCAGTACACCGTTTCCGGCCGCCGTACGTACATAGTGAACATCATCCATGGTTTTGGCCAGACGGACGCGCTTCACCAGCGTGTGTTGATTGGATTTTGTTTGCGCCACAGTTATCACATCGTATGTCACTGTAAAATAAACAAAAAGATTCTGAATTAGTTGAAAATTGCATGATTTTAAAATTTTAAATAACATAAATATACTTTCTAAATCACATTTCCTCTTAAGTACACAGGACAAAAAGTTTATTATAAATGAACATCTAAGTTATTTACTCCTAAATTTCAATTTATGGCTAAGTTTTTAGTTTCGATTCATTGCAGATTGTGCAAATCCTCAATGTCTAAGTTAAGCGTCCGCAGCTCTAGCGTGAGATCGTCGGCCTCCTCCTTGATGAATCCTCTGGCAAGAGATTTTACCGGCTTGATGCGCGATTTTCCTGTTAAACTGGTCCCTGAAAGACGTTTCTTTCGGTCCGTGTTGAGGCAGGTATGATGGCACGATTCCAGCACAATCCTGTGCACACCCTCCACCACATTGGTCACTACCCGTGCATTGCACTTCGTGCTGCCCTGCAATAGAGAGCAAGGGAAATAATTTATGTCTGTCTTATACAATTTTACAGTTCAGTGTCTAATTAAAATCTGCTAAAATCGCTCTTATTCTAAATTTCTATGCTCTAAGTTCTATACCACTAAATCACTCACCTTTTTGGAGCATATCCAATACGTTTTGAGATTACTTCGACGGTTTCTAACATAGTTGTAGCCATTAAACGCCAGCAGTCTGCACCCACGTTGTCCCCGAATGAAGGTGAGCAGGCTGTGCTTGATGGCGCCATCCATGTCGTCCACATCTTCGATTACTGTAAGATAGCAAATTATCCTTTAGTAGAGATAAGTGAAAGGTTTAAAAATATGAGGACTGCAGGAATATGAATACTATAAAATACATTTTCGATTTTTAAGCTTTATATTCTATAATAAATATTTAATAAGTTAAATTTAATTCTATACAATTGACAGTCAGAGTTGACTGCACGTCTATGGCTGGTTAGTAGGGTGGATGGTTATGTTGGCCGCATTTGATGGTCACATCATGGTCTTGCACGGTGACCACCCTCGCCTTGCACTTGTGAGCTCCAGCTCGGGCACATGACCAATAGGTTTTCGATCCTGTGGCCTTGTTTCTGGTAAATGTGAACTCTCCAATCTTCAGTTTACGACTCCCTCGAAAGCCTGTTATGTAAGAGTAGTAAGCCACAGAATCTGTGAATTGAAAATACAAAAATGGAATTAGTTCAAACAGGAAGAGTAGTAAGTCTCAAATTTAAGACTAAAAGGCAAAGAGACGCTGTAAAACCATAAGCTTAGCTAAGTTGAATTTTATTGTGTCAGACGAAAGTCGAGGTGATGCAATATTGTACAATTGAACTTAGGACTAGAACGCTAGGTCGCTGTTGCCGGCGTCGAGGTGGCAGGGGTCTCCAATGGGTCCTGCCTCCGCTCTGCCCGAGCAGCCGCCTCAGCTTCCGCCCGCTGTCGCTTAAGAGAGCCGTACTTTCGCGCCTTGGAGATGACTTCATGATTGTGTTCGCTGTTTAATATGGTCAGGGTGTCCAGTTTGGTTTTAAGTCGCGCCCGACACCGTAACACTGCGAACTAAAAGGAAACCCATCATGAATACTTGGTGATTTACTCTTTGTAAGCACCAGGGACCGACTTTTTTATTTACTTATAACAACATTTTAATTTACTTTTTAAAAAAATAAAAGATAAGACAAGTTATATAGATAAAATCAATCAAATTCAGATGAATATAGAATAGTATAAGAATAATTATATTCTTTTAGATTTGGAGTTTATCAAATTAGCAAATTAGGTCCCCGGGCAATCCACTCACCTGGCTGCAGCGCCAATAAGTGACGTCGTCCCTGCAGATGTGCCTATTAAAGGTGTGTTGCTTGAGCATAATCTGTTTGGTACCGTACTTGCTGACAATGAAGAACGGCGAGTTGCTGTTGACCACTCCTGCGGAGGAGGCGCTGGCCAACTGCATGGTGGCTTCGCCCACATCTACACTGATCTGATAGTCAAATTTGGCTAGAATGAGGAAAGACAAGTAGTGTTCAGAGTAAGTTGACTGGAATATGGGAATATAAATTTAGATGAGGAAATAAAACACTGGGGATTGCTTTCATTGTTTTGGTATATTGTACATTGTGGTTTCGGCCTATGACTACATACATATCCTAAATCCTACTAGCACTGCAGACAGTGCTGAGCGTGATCATGATGCTTGGTTAGACGTGGCCGACGGCTGAGCTCGACGAGGACGTAGAATGCCGGGCAGTTCTTGGTCAGGCAATGGAAGTAAGTGCGGTACTGCATGGCGCGGATCTTTTTGTAGGACTTGCCGTTGACCATCAGGAATTCACCTTGGGCGGTGCGCTTCAAACGGACGCCCACATTCTGGTCATTAGCTGAAGAAGATGAAGGATGAAGGGTTGATGGTGAAATGTGGTGCGACACATGTGTGGGATGAACTTAATCCAACTATTATATGAAACTAAATTGTCTACAACTGTCGTGGTTTCGGTTTTTATGAATCTCTAGCTTTAATATGGCGGATAAAATGCATCCTTGGGCAAAAGTTTTGCGGGCACTTTCCCGCCCAAAAACCGCGGCGGATGGTTGTGGGCATTTTTTCCGAGCTTAATGCCTCCATCGAACTTGGTGATGGCCCTCGCCGAGCACTTGTTCTCGTTCAGCCGCTTTCCATTGCCATCGGAACAGATCCAATTGACTGTGGCCCGGAAACTGGCCTCTTTCTTGTACATATATCCATTAAATACCAGGTTAAAGCCCTGTTTTTGGTTCCTCAGGAAGAAGTATTCGTGCTTATCATGCCACAGGCCACGCGGAATATCCCCAATAAACTGACCTGCAATGGTAAAGAAGGTTAAATAACCGGCTTGATTATCTAGATATATTGGTACTTGAATATACATACAACCCAGAGAAAAACACATGGATTTTTGGGGTGCTGAGTAAACAATTTATTGCAGGCAATTCCCGATACAGTCAACTATTTATAGCAGCTTATTTATATCGCTTGTGGCATGTTTTAGCTACATCTAGTCAACCTTTTTTTTTGGTTTTAAAATCGGTTTATATGTTAACATATTAGTTTTCAAAATTCTGTTCATTGGATGGCCAAAATATGTATGTTGTTTGATTGGCTGCAAGGTAAACTCACCTGGTATGTGAAACACACATTTCACTTTACACTTTGCTAAGGGCCACTAAAGTCAATTAACTCGATCCAAAAACAAGAAATTCCAATTTCCGAGTGGTTCTTGGAAAATTCTTTTTGGAGGGAGTCCTTTTTGAGACACCAACAACAACAATGATGCCACTTTGCTGCACACACATTTATGCAAACATAGCCGCACACCACAAACACACGCTCGCCACATTTTCACAAGATTATGCACGGGTTTCTTACTAATCACATTAATTCACTTTTTCCTCAACGCTAATTTAAACCACTTCACATTTTGGTAAAAACAACAAACAATTTGTTTGTCAAATAACAAAACCGAAGCGAACACGGCGAAAAAATATGAGAACAACTACAACAAAGATGGCGTGCCATTAGCAGCGCTAAAAGTGCTGTTAACGAGAGCTATCGGTTATCGTCTGTTAAGGAACTGGGTTCAAATCCCAATAGCTTCGATTCTTAAATGTCTTGCTTTAACTATTTATTAATCATCAATTAAAGTTTTCTATAGATTTTATATAATAAATATGTTAAGTTGTTTTCATGGCTTAACATGATTTTAAAATAAATACTTCTGCAACAAACAAATACAGAGAGAGCATTCAGAACTATGTATGTCACCACATATAATATACATATATAGATGATTATTTTTTATTACATTATTATTTATTAAATTATAAAAAACAAATGCAAACGTGATCCAGAACGAAATAAAAATGAAAACACTCAATGTTTTACATTGAAACAAAATTTTTTTTTTTTTTGTATAAATATTAATATTTATTATATAATAATATATATTATTGCAACATAATAATATCCATTTTCAGACAATAAAAAATAAACAAAATTTAAAAAGTCCATTAAAGTCTAATCAGTACGACCCAGCAAAACCGATAGTAAAACGCAAGAATGAGCTACATCGATACGTTGTAGGAATTTTTCCCAGCTCTAAAGTACAGTGCTTCTTCTTCAAACCGTGTTTTTCAGCATAAAATATTTTATTTTTAATATTATTATATTTTCCCTTACTTGTTAACCAATAAAATAAGCAAAAACCAGATAAAGTCCCTCCTCAGTTGTTTTATTTTCGTTTTTTCGCTCGAAAGGCATAAACTTACTCAGATGTTCTAACCTGTTGCGTTTCCAATTCTCCAACCACAGCCGCCACATCCGCATCTGCATCCCAAAAAATCCCACCACGTAAACGCGGCAGACCGAAGACCAAGGTTGAGGATCAAACGCCCAAGCCGAAGCTCCTTGACAAATTGCATGCAGCGACCTTGAACGAAGAGGCCAGTGAGCCGGCTGTGTACGCCTCCACAACGAAGGGTAAGACCCAATCCTGGCGAATCCTACTCGCCTGGGAATCCTGGTATTGTCAAGCTAATTCCATTCTTCTTCGCAGGCGGTGTAAAGCTCATCTTTAATGGCCACCTGTTCAAGTTTTCATTCCGCAAGGCGGACTACTCGGTGTTCCAGTGCTGCTACCGGGAGCATGGAGAGGAGTGCAAGGTGCGGGTGGTGTGCGACCAGAAAAGGGTATTTCCTTACGAGGGCGAGCACGTCCATTTTATGCAGGCCAGCGACAAGAGCTGCCTGCCCTCGCAGTTCATGCCGGGTGAATCTGGAGCCATATCCTCGCTGTCACCCAACAAGGACACCAAGGTGGAAATGCTAATCAAAAATACCACTAAGCTAGAGGATGAAGACGACAAAGAGGAAGAAGATTTTGAGGAGTTTGAGATTCAGGAAATCGACGAGATTGAGCTAGATGAGCCGATCGCAGAGAAGGTGGTCGCCAAGGAGGACGATGTAGACCCCAATGATTTCCGCGAAAAGATTAAGAGACGCCTGCAGAAGGCCCTGCAGAGCAAGAGAAAGTGAAACGGAATATGCGCTAAAACTTCAAATTATACTTTTCATATTTACTTGCTGACAAGGAGGTGGACTCCAATGATTTCTGAAAAAGATCTATCTTCGCCTACAGAAGACCGTGCAGAGCAAGAAGATGTTACACTGAAAATGCCTTAGAGCTTCACTTTATACTTTCTATATTCATTTGGGTTCTAAATACCCTTACTAAGTACTAAATAATTAAGTTTTTAATAAAACGATGTCAATAAATCAGAACCTTAAGTAAACAATTTGACTAGTTCGTAAGCTTTAACTCCCTATTACTCATATGTGTTATGTGACAAGTGTTTAATTGATAAATAACCTGCGCTATTTCATGTTTTTCAGTTACTCAGCACGTCCGTAACTGTGGTCCGCAGATGTTTCTCATCAGCCGTAAAGGTGGCACTCTGCTGACCATCAATAACTTTGTCTACCGTTCTAATCTCAAGTTCTTCGGCAAGAGCAATAACATCCTGTATTGGGAGTGTGTCCAAAACCGATCAGTCAAGTGCCGCAGCCGCTTGAAGACCATCGGAGATGATCTCTATGTAACCAATGGTTTGTAACTCAAATTTAAAAGTAGTAAACAAATAATAGATTCAATATTTAACTCCACAGATGTGCACAACCACATGGGCGACAACAAGCGCATTGAGGCGGCCAAGGCGGCTGGAATGCTGATACACAAAAAGCTTAGTTCTCTCACAGCCGCCGATAAAATCCAGGGCTCCTGGAAAATAGATACCGAGGTCAATCTTGATCAGCTGCCTAAGATGTAATAGCTTATCTAACATTCCCACCCTACAGTCAGAGTTCTATTAAGGCTTAGCTAATGTATTCTACTATTATTTTTGCAAAGTATATTTCTGATTTAGACTGAGAATCCCGAGCCTAGTTAGGATGGGTAAGTAGCCTGTTCATCTGGGATCTCAAAATATCATTTTTGTAATTCGCAAAGTCCCCGGGGTCATAATATTTATTCTGTTCTCAATCGCTTAGACGCTTTTGGCCGCGGCACTGACTTGAGCAATGGCTTGTGTTAGGTACAAACTATGAACTTTTAATAAAATCAGATGAACATCTAAATGAGTTGAAATTATATGATCTCGCCCTAGATTTAAAGTTATTTTTTTGTCTTTAAAACATTTAAGTTTATAACAAAATTTTACAATTTCATTTAAATTTACTTTTTGTAAGTTTAGTGTACGAGTATATTTTTCCGATCTGAGAATATCAATATTTAAAGTTATTGCATTATTTAAAAAATATTTGCAGTCTTTTCCTTAAAAGGAGCATACAAAGCATATTTACGAGCTTGACTACCTTTTATTTTAAATTAAGATTTTTTTATTTTAAAGTATTTGATAATTTTAAGAAAATGCATTTCATTTTATGTAGACCTATTGTTGAACTAAAAGTTTCGGATCTGGGAATAATTCTATGTTTCCATTCATTTATACTTGTATGAAGATCTGTAAAAACTAATAACTAAAAGTTGGATTATTCTAAGATCGCATCCATAGGATTTAAAAACCTTTAGCTTCAACTTAAGTTCAGGGTCTAATCGGTAGGAACCCAAGGCATCTTTAGAGTACTAAGTTTGGTCCTGACATTCTTATGGTTGTGAGAGGAGCAAGAGCTTCGGTATTTCACCTCTGTGCCCACCATGAAAGTCGAGGCCCGGGCCTTACAGCCCTTAGTGTGATGCATGCAACGCCACGACCCTATCAGGTTATCCCTTCCTAGAACGCGATGTACAATATATGTCTCGTTGGCTATGATTAGCTTCGGACGGCTATAGGCAGCCAGTTTAAACTCCGCGGTTCCATCGTAGTGTGTAGCCTTTTTTGAGTAACGACGGCGAACTGAAAGAAATTAAAAAATATGGAGTCAGAAAATTATAGTGATTAAGTGTATACAAATCATTAAATACTAAGCATTAAGGGTTAAAACCGTATAAAAAAAATATTCTAATTATTGTAATCATTTATTTCGTTTTTGTTCTGTAAATTGCTTAGCCTATCAGGACTTATACAACGTTGCACTTAGATTAGGTTCAGGTGGGTCGATTTGCAGTATGTAGTCTTTGGACTATTATAAGCACGTCTCCAGAATTGTTTTTTTGTGTGATGCAATTCAATATTTTAGAAAAGTAAATCATATGGCACCAATTATTTATAAAACTGATATTTATATGTGTCCATTATTGCCTTATTTGCTGCACAAATATGGCTCAAGACAATGACTTACAATTGTCCCAAGACTACATAGAGGGTTCTCCAATGCGCACGACAAATCGCTCACCGTAGCTTAGGTACTCTACATCGACATTAGTTCAAAAAATTATTTATAACCACAGACATTGGTGAGCCCAATTCCCTGGGGCTAGTAATCCTTGCTTATGAAGACTGCGCCGTGTGCTTGGTGCTGCTGCATCAGAGCCATCATTTGCGGCGTCTGCACGTGAGGCAGGGAAAGCGGCATTGCCAGTGACATGGAAACGGGGACAGGTACCGACACCGGCATGGCCAGATGAGTGGGAGCAGTAGCGTACGATGGCGCAGGCATTTGCGATACCGGGCTCATCATCTCCACTGTGGGAGTGGGTGTCGTCGACGTGACCATTGAGTTAAGGTTGGGTGTCTCAGTTTTAATCGCGGAAACGGAGCCATTAGTCTTTGCCTGGCAATAAAGCTGACACAACGGCAGCAGTTCCTTGTGACGTCTTTTTATATGGCTGAGGAAGTTCCCCGTGGACTTGGTGGTACCGGAGATCAAGCCGTAGCAAGTAGTACAGGTGGCCTGTATGGCGCCTGGCGTCTTCTGATTCGGCTGAATGTTCTTGTAGAACTTACCGTCCAGAATCTTGGGCAGGGTAAATGGTTTTCGAAATGATTCATCGTCGCTGAGATAGGTTACGGCTAAGGAAGCCACAGCAGCATCCGTAGGCAGAGCAGGCGTAGGCGAAGGCTCCATTTTTATCTTAACTGCAAGATTAAGAAATCAAACATTAGTAAGAAGCTTAAACGATTTTAAAGCTAGACTAGGAACAAAACAAATACGCATAACTATATATTTTATACTTATTAGTTTAGTTTATTAAGATTAAGCTAGGTTTGTAGTCTAAAGAATAAATTAGATTAGCTGCTGATCTTCAAGAGCCTACTGCAGCTCCGGAAAGTCGTCCAGCAGGTCAGTGGTGAGATCCATCGAGTTGACTTCCGGACCGTGAGTGTGCGGGGCGCCAGCGATGCGCAGGGTGACGTCCTGTATTTTGGAGGTCACAAGGGTTGCTCTGCAACTGTGCTTCACATACCGTGAGCACCGCCAGAAGATGTTCTTCAAGCTCTGTCTGTTTACAACGTACCGATATCCCTCAAAGACCAGCATCACCCTACCGCGCTGCGTGGTGGTGTACTGGATGCTGGCGCTGTTTGCCTTGTCCTCGAAGAGTGCCTTTAAAGATTGGATGACACCTGTAAATGTAAGTGGATTCATAGGCATTAGTTTAGGTTATTTTAGGAGCTCTAGCTGTGGTAACTAGCTACTGCACAAAATGTGAAAGGAAAAGTTCTGTTATAGCCATTTATTTCAGTTTACAAAAGGAACAAACAATTTAAACTACAGGCTGGGTTTGACCGCTATAACTTTAAGTGTAGAAAGCTTGTGGTCAATGAATTCCTGGACAGCAGACTCAGTTAGTTGCTTTCCGCGTAGGGCAAACACTTGGCACACATGAGCTGCAAAAATATAGTACAAATTACGGCTTTGAAATGGGGTAAGCCTCATGTTATATATATACTTATGATGTCCTGTAGAAGATCCTTGTCCGTTGCTTCCTTATCTTGGGCTATGCGTGCCAGCCTATCTTTACCAATGACCAGATCCATTACCCGGCACGTATAAATAACCGGCATCGTGATGTATGCCTTAGCCAGAGCCATCTTGGACACATAAACGCGACTGCCATCGAACAAGGGAATCGCATCTGCATCCCTTGGGACTTTTTCCAAACTTTCGGTTACTGACTTCTTGGAGTTATCCGCAGGCTTTGAAGTAACAGTGTCTTCCTTTTGGTCCCTCTGCAATGTCACATTTTGTTGAAGACTATTAAAACTTTGTTTCTGGAAGGCAACAGAAAACATAAACAAAATAAAACACAGTTCATGCGGTTCTCATATTGGGACTTTATTTCGGATAAATTATCAAACTATCGCCTACACTTGCACCAGAAATCTGGCCGCTATGGGTATATTGTAGTAATTTTTATTATTTATCACATTCATGGCACAATTCCAAATAATAAAAACACTAATTATTTATTTTAACACGCCCACGAGTCACAAAATTCTTAAAGAAATGGCAGCTACCAGGGCTGCATTGGTGGTACAGTGCGACTTGGCCCAAAAGGATTATTATTATTATGACCATAGCAAATCCTAAATATGTTTCGTAATTTATGTTATTCTAGAGTCTAATATTAATGTGCACTCTTTTTTGTCGCTGATTAATATCAAAAATAAGTATTTTATATGTTTTAGCCATTTAGAAGATTGCAACAAAACCATTAGATTTACGATAGGAGATTTGCTGAAGTTTGAAGTGATTACTGTTTTGTTTATATTAAATATACAAAAATGTATTATTATGAAACTTACACACGACAAAATCCATTTTTTAACTTTTTTATTTTACTCTTACTGGTATTTACTGTACTCAACCCAATGCAGCCCTAATAGTTTTCGATTAGTCCGGCAACCCTATAAAAATGTCGCCCATAGTTGTGAAAAAATGCAAGCGATTAAAACAAATTGTTGCTAACTAACTAAACTTGAAGGTGAAATTAAAGAGTTAATAGCCTGAAATATGTGAATTGTGTTGGTGGAATCCCCAATTTGAAAGAAATCGCCGCCTCCCAAGAAAGAGTGCTCAAGTGTTGTGTGATGAAGAAGAAAAAAACGACGCCACTCAAATATCAAGCAAATATACATATTGTGTACAAATGTTAAATTGCGAAATTGTAATGCTACAGCATTGTCGAGCATTGTTAATAAAGTTTAGAAACTATAGCGGAGCAGGCATATATTATTTGGCGGATCATCTTGGGCAATCGAACTGTCAGAGCGTTCTAATCAATACCAACTCCTCCCACTCCGACTTGTGTCTTGCAGACCCAGAACTGGAGGATGACTATAAGGTGCATCTGCCGCTCCAGGTGTCCAGGAAAAAGAAGGCGTCGGGCGTCTCTGGCAAGCAAAACTTTGACCACCTGGATGTTAGCTTCACCAGGAGCAACCGTGGCAATAACCTGTTAACCATCGATGGGAAACCTTTCACCCTCAATCGCCGAATCAAAGACGTCTGCTACTGGGAGTGCGTCAAGCTGCGCTGCAAGTACATCAAGTGCTCCGCCCGCGTGGTGACCAAGGCCAACCGGATCTCGGCCCTGCGCGGGCTACACAACCATCTCTAAGTTACAAACTACCTGTGCCATATCTTTAGTCTAATAAAGATGTTTCCGTTGATCAATTAGCCACTTTCGCCTTATGTGCCGTTGTAGTTCCTGTAGTGTCCTTAACAAAATTCAGAAGCTTTCCTACTAATCCCAACCAAATTCTTGCAGCCCGCTACCATCTTGTGGCCAATCGTCGTGGCGGTAAGAACCTAATCTTCCAGGGGTACATGTATTGTGTGGAACGCAAATACCGGAATAGCATTAATTGGGTGTGTTCTAAGAACAGCAATCATGCTCTTCGTTGTCCGGCGAGGTGCGTCACCAATCCGGAAAGCACATCTGGCATTAAACTGAGCCACCGTCACCATAACCATCCGGCATATTCCATTAATTTAAACAGACGCAGGCCGAAGCGATCCAGTAAGAACAGCAGCAACCAGTTAACTTCCAAATCAGGATTTTCAAATTGTTAGTCTAAACTAAATAGTTATAATATATATATTCTTCGTCATTGCATTGTTACATTTTGGTGGAATGGTAGCACAATTCATTTGGTTCTTGGTCTCACAATATCTCAATGCCTACTTCTTTTATAAAACTGAGTTATTTATTATAAACATTGATTTTTACTATGGTCATAATACACAAAATGCTAAACCACCTTACAAATTAATATTAAATCGAAATACATACTTATAAGTTATAACTGTAACCCTTTAACTAACCAACCAAACAATTTCTTAACAGGTTCTCAGCGTCATACCTTTTATAGGGAGAACGGTTTTATGATCATCGATGGCTACCGCTTCGTGATCGGGACTACAAATCAGCGTCGCACTTACCTGAAGTGCGCAAACTTTCGCAGCAGTTGCAGGGCGCGGGCCATTGTAAATAGGGAAACAAACAATGTACGGATGAGGCACGATGGGCATAATCACAGCCGTAAAAATGTGCCGAGCGGACGTAGCTCTAAGAATTTGCAGGTATTAAAATTTTTGGGGAATAAAAAAAACGGCTTCCGTTGAAAAAAGTTCGATTGTATTTCACTACTCAAAATATAAACCTTATTTCCTATACATCCTTAAATCTGTATTTAGAAAAACACATTAATCTGACTAAATATATTAATCTTTTTTAGATAAATTGGCACAGTACGTCCGCTCCAATCGAGGAACCGATCTCGTTTACCACGAAGGAAACACCTACACGCCCAATGAAAAGTTAAGAGAGGGACAAAAGAGTCGGGACTGGAAGTGCTCAATGTATCACAAGGCCAAGTGCCGGGCCCGCCTGGTTACCCGTATTACGAGCGGCGGGGATATTATCCATGTAACCAGCAGCCTACACACTCATCCTACAATGTACACCATACGGAAAAAGGATACTCACGCGGCTGACCAGAAACTTTGCCTAGAAAGGAATCCACTCTGCATTAACACACGATCAATTAAAATGTAGAGCAAGTAAAATCCACCAATTAGCTTAGATTAACATGATCTCTGATAGATTAATACGACGCCATTCGAATGTTGGTGTTGGAAATTTAAGATTATAATTTTCATAAGATAGAACTAAAACAATTTTAGAACAAAGTACATATCCAATTTTCCAAATCTTATTAAACATTTTTTAAATGTACCAAAGACATTATAATTTCGTCTGATATATTAATTTTCTGTATATTTAGTCTGTAAGTACAATAAAAACGTAAAAAATGTTCTCTTTTATTTTTTATTTTTGAAAAGTATTTGACATTTCCCCTACTAATGAATTTCTTTTCTTTCTTTGCAGACATTCTTCTGAGGTATAAATTTCTGCCCATAGACATGATGTACAATTCAGACGGCAGACTGACGAACAGCTTTCCGAAAATTCGAATCACACAGAGTCAGCGCAAGACCGTACAGCTAATGCTGAAAAATTATATTTTCACCAAGTGCAACGTGCACGGAAACACCACATATTGGCACTGCCGATCTCGTCGGTCTGGACAACCTCCTTGTAACGCTCGTTTCACCATCAAACAGCTACGGAACGGTCGGTACAGAGTCTTTCTGTCTCAGCCGGAGCACAATCATGCTGTAAAACGACGCCGTAAAAATTAAAAAAAATTTCTTTAAAATATATAAGGGCGGAGAATACTTATGTGGCTATAAAGCGCCGCCGTATAATTTAATCTTTCTTAAAAATATATAAGAGCCATGTGTTGGCAAACAGCATTACACCGCCTCTGATTCTGTAGTTGTAGTGAATTAAGCAGTTGTCAATTTACTAATAAAAGTGTACCTTCTATGTCCACAGAAAGCAGCGTAGCTATCTACTCTGCCACCTCACGCGGAAGAATGCAACTAATTTACGGCGGTCAGCCGTTTATCTTTGAGAAGACCCTAAAACTATCTTCGGGAGAGGAGAAGCGATTCTGGCGATGTAACCAATGGTGGAACCAGAAGTGTCGATCGCGTGTATTTACAATTAACGATGTCGTCTGTCCGCTTAACCGATTCCATACGCACGAGGAGATTGTGCGGCGAAAGAAGCGCGTCCGCCGAGTACCGCCTGTGGAAACAATTGCCAAGGCCACATCCGCCAGGCAACAGCAGCAGCCGACCCAGCAGCAACAAGAGATTCAGCTGACCAGCGACGCAATGTTGACCAATGCTGGCGCCATGCTGGAGGACGAATCTCCTGCCACAATCGATGTTAGTGAGCTGGGAATGCACCTGAAGTACGAGGAGATCGTAGCGGACGTCACGGGCATTGTGGGAGCCACGCGAGTGGTCAGCCGCAGGAAGTGAGGCCCAACTTTTCACTAGAATGACTCGAATATTTCGTAACGAAATATCGCAGCGTCAAATTTTACTCCATAGAAAATTCTGAGCATTATCATTTTTGAACTTGCCAAGTCGGTAACTTAAAGCTACATACTTTTGTTGAATTTGAAAAAAAGGCTATTTACATTTACTAGCCAATATAAAACATTTTTATTATTATTTAGAGAAATATGTGTACGTTTTTTTTACATTCTCCAAATTCTCTTTTTACTTTTTAAACTCGATGTCTGATAATCTTCTATAGATGCAAGTTTGTGCTTTTTATTTTTCCTTTCCTTACAAAAAAGAATACATTTTTCTTATATTTATATAAAACTGTGTATTAAGAAACGGACAAGCTAAGTTAGCCTTTATGATTCAGCTTATAAATACTTAATTCTATGTAAATCCAATAAACGTAAGCCCTAAACAGTGCAATTAAATACTTTTAGAATCTACGAATTCTTCAGTTCAAGCTTGAGTATTCTCCCAACCGAAAAGCACACTTTACTAACCTTCTGGGTCGCATATTTCTTCTCTTTCCAGGTGAACCTCCTTCGTTCTACTTCACCAAAGGACAGCGTGAGTCCATAAAGCTAAATTACGGCGGTCATAGTTATGTAAAGTTCATGGAGAACGGCCGCGGAACCAAGTGGATATGTGCCACCCGCTCTACCACCAAATGCCGTGCTCGCATCCGCACTACCAAGAACAACCGTCTTGAGGTGTTGCATGCCCCTCACAATCATGATTTTCCGCCACAAAAGAAGGAACGAGGTCGTCTCCGACAAAGGATTAAATCCCAAAAATAATTAAGAACCTACTTGACAGCAAAATCATTTTCGAACTAGAACGAACTTTTGTCTGATCTGCAAAGAATGATCTTTTCAGTTTATTTGTTCATAACTATTCTATATATAACTATTCTGATATCTTAATTTTTTAATAACATCTTAAACCGGACTGTTTGTAAATATCAAAACGACTTTGCCATATCCTATGTTATAAATAATTTTATTTTGTAATCAACGCAATTAAACTTTAATCAAAAGATTGATTAGTAATTGTTCAAGTTAGGAAAATGGCACTAATATCAACCCGATATTAAAAAGAAATGTACTGAAAAATTTATATTTAACTCAAGAAGTCTATTTTTTATACAGATTCCTTTGAACAACGGTTTCGAACTGCGATATACATTTATATTAAAATGATGTCGCCATAAATAAAAGACCTGATAAAGTATAATATATTATATTAATGCCGTAAAACGATAAAGCAATTATTTAGACTAATATACGAAAGATATTTTCTGAATTGTCCAACATAAGACCCCAGGCAGTTGTAAAAAATCTTTTAATAAACTGCTTTTTCTTACAGAAATCGTAAATTAAAAGCTCATATACAACATTTTAAGATGAAGCCGACACATAATCAGTAATATATTGAAATCGTAATCATTTTATTTACTTAAAATGTTTTTCTGCATATTTAACTGAATGCTGGTTACAAAAATAAAAAATGGAAATCATTTGCTTGGACATTTCACGATAGACACATTTAAAGAATCTAAAAACAATTCGCATATTTCTTCAGTCAATCCAATGTAGATAATATTATAACTTTACTCATTCCATTGAGGAGTGCAGGTCGGTGAAGCAGGATGTGCACATCCAGTTACTGCCGGGACATGTGTCACATAAAGTGCTGATCCTACTTAGACCAGCCCTGTTCCGTTTTAGACAATTCACACATTTGCCTTTCAATCGAGGCAGTCCCACATGGACAAAGTTGTGCCCATTGTCGGAGGTGCGTATAATATTTTCCGGGTTGCTTAAGTTTAGCCTTCGGGCAGGCTCCACACTGACCATTTCTTGCGCAGCCAAGACAACTGGTTTTTGGGGTTTAACAACTCGCTTCTGGAGCACTTTTTGAATAGGTATAATTAGTCGTATAGCTCTATCGCCTGGAAGAACGAAGAACAAAAATAGTTAATGATTTACAACAACAAAATAAAAACATAAGCATTAGATATATAAAATAAAAAGATCCGTTCATATTTTAATGCTGTTTATTTAATTTCATTATTCTGATTACAAGAGTTGTCCTCCTTGTGTAGAATTTTATCTGAAAAAAAAATGAATTAATTTATGAACTCATAGGATTCGTTGATTTATATAGTAGTAGAAAATTATTTTAAAGAACCAAAGACCTAATTCAAATTTATTTGACTTAGGCTTTCAGCTGAGGAAATTTACTTACCTCAAACGTTATCACTTTTGTCAAGGCGAGTTTTCCAATCAACCACTCTGGGGACAAATGACTTCAGCCTTTCGGGTGGTTTATGATTGTGGAATCCCCTGATGGATTTTATTGTTTTAATGTGCGTTGTTAGAGCCGAGGAACAGTGCAACTTTTTGTACATGGAGCAACGCCAGAAGGCCAGGCATTTCTCGGGATTCCTAGTGTGGCAGCTGAAGGTGAAGCCATCATAAACAAGTTTTCCCCGATCATCGTAGGTAAGCACTGAAAAAGAACGACTGAATTTAGTTTATAGACATAAGAAATAAGCTTACTTTGAAGACTTGGGCTGGAAATAGATCTGAGCAGAGCATGATAGTTTACTGATAGTTTGACTTTGGATCTTTATTTCACGAGATCACCTTTCTGTTATTCAACGGAATCAACTTCAAAAACTATCATAGGCATTTTTATAAAACTAACATTAGAAGCACACCGCTATATTATCAATTTTACTAATAATACGTCGAATTAAACTCTCTTTAGACTTCAAACTTATATTACATTTGTACAATTCAAAATGCACCCCACGGGTGATTAGGGCAATAACTCAAAATAAATACATTTTCCTTATGTACTTTTTATCTGCAGAGACCAGGTGGTATGTTTTGTCCGTTGTCTCAGCTAATCGTGCATAAGCATCATAGAGGCGTGCATTATTTCGTGATCAGTCAGTTGCAACTCGGCCGCCTCTCTAGCCAATTGGTTCTCATCGATTAGCCCATGCTTGTTCTGCTGGGCGAAACTTTGGGACCGTGTCATCTTCCTTCCGGAGCTTAATGCTGCCATTTTATTCCTTTGAATGATCTTGTCGATCTTCTCAGTGTGCGGCTGGTGGTTATGCAGTCCTCCGGTTACACTCTTTAGCCTGCCGTTTTCCAGAACGCAGCGAGACCGACAGCGCATTTCGTGCGCTTTTTTTGAGTAATTGTGGCAGCGCCAATACTGCTTGTTGCTCTTGCGGCTGTGGCAGTTGTACATATAGCCGTTCAACACCAGGCACGGCGTCGACCAGGGGCTCTCTATGAAGACTAGTTCGTTGTCATCTGAAAATGAGAGATTTTTAAAGGGTTAGTTAGTGGTGGCTTAAATTTCTAATATTTAGCCTTATAATAATAAAGTTGAGCTTTCCAAAACGATTGCCATCCTTTGTTTTGGTCTGTTTATTACAGCATAAATATGAAATACGTTTACAGAAGTCAGCAAGTGGCTTAATCTATGGTCGATTGGAATGGCCGATCTGTTTGGCAAATTTCTTAAATTATTACTACTAAACTAAACTATTAAAATTCTATTAATATTTGGCGCTATTTTGATATTTGATTTGGTAGTTCTTCTTGGAACTGTTGTTCTTCACAAAAAAAACTATGAAACCATTCTAAAAGAATCATTATATACACATTTATAAAAGAATTTCTACATTATAGAATATGGGACATGGAAGTTAAATAACAAAATTAAAAATAATATGAATATTAAACAGCTGAATAGTTTTTAAGGTAAAATTACATGAAAATTCAAACTTGACAAAGTAAAAAAAAACCCTCCTGTAGCTTCCTGGATACCTTTGTATACAACTCCTCGTTTGTTTGAAGTTTGCCAAATAAATCGGCCCATTCCAATGTTCGAGACTAATACGAGGTTAAGTGCTAGATAATAACTTCTAAAGGGGCTTGGTCTTCAGCAGAGATCGGCGTTTGGCTTCTTCAGCCTGCCAATTGACCTCTCTTTCGCGGTCACGTTGCTGTGCCCGCTGCTCCTCCGCCTCGGCCTGCAGCTCCTCCTCTTCCTCGGCGGCGTCAACCAGTGCCTGCATCTCGATCTCGGTGGCCTCGGCAGCAGGAAGGAACAACTTGCAGTCCTTGCCGTCCTTGGCGGTCACAATGATATTGCTGCTGCCCAAATACTGTGAGATTTTCGGGTTCGACGTGCAGATTTCTATATACTCCTCCAGTTCTTGTTCCACCTTATAGAGCTGCCGTTGGCCAATCCTCGATGAGTGCGATTCGTGGTTATGTTGCCGCCGAGCGTCGATGAACTGTCCATCCCGAGTTATAACCACAGCCTTGCAGCGGAGCTTGAGGACATCCGCACAGCGCCAGGTTGTTTGTCCATTGGCCTGGGTGAGCTTCTTATTGTAGATGTAGTTCCGGAACACCAGCTGGGCGTTCTTTTTCTGGCTTCGGATAAAACTGATCTCCGCATCTGCAAATTGCCCGAAGATAATCGTTGCTTTAGTGGGCATAGTTTAACTAATGTCTGATACCTTATATATTAAATATGTGTGGCTTAAGCGCTTAGCTAGGATCGGCGAAATAAAACAACATTTAATTCAGACTTTGGCTTTAAGCAGTTTATTGGCAGTTAGCGAACCGTAGAACCCGTGAAGATGATGGCAGAATACTTACAGAATCTGGGATTTTGGCATTTTATAACTTACAACTGCATTATCTTCAGATTTTTCATGGCTTGGGTTTCAAAAAGTGTTTATCACAAAACACAAGGGTGGAATACACCTGGTATTGCAGGCATGAAAGCATTGAACCGGTTATCATACTAATCACTTGGACTTTTGATTTTACACAACACCACACATTTACAGAGGTAGCAAATAATTTATTTATCAACAAAACAACTTTGTTATTAGCACACACAACTACAAAAAACCATTCAGTGTTGTTTCTGAATAATATTCGACAGGGTTGCCACTCTTTTGAAATCACAGGGTTGCATTTGCACTTAGGATTACCAGAGCCTGACGACACCAGCCCTACAAAAGTTTTAGTAATCAGTTTAAAAAAATGTTTTCCAATATTCTTTATTTCATTTTTTTTATAAAAGAAACTAGCAATATAAATACTACCTTACAGCTAACTTTTGTAATATGTAAAATGTAATACAAGCCACATGCTTTTCTTTTAATAGCCTGCCACATCTTGCTTAGAATATATCTTCACATTAGCTGATCTTGATGCAGAACCGCAGTTGAAGATATAAATTAATTATAATATAAACGTCAAAAACAATATATGTACATAATCTACTCGAAGTTTTTTTAAAAAAAAAATACCTCGCCAAAATCCACCGAAAAATTTGGATGAAAATGAATGCAACGTATGAAATTGCCAAAAATTTCCAGATCGATGAATTTGTACCGACTTTTACAGTATCGTCTATCAACCAATAATTACAGCCAATATATTTTCCCAAATCCGTCTGCAATAACGTCTACGTAGGCCTGTTTTGATACATCATCTAAACCAGTTTGAATTGCAAAACCCAACTGTCAACCAAACCATTTCCCCCCAGTACAAAAACATTAATAGGAACTACGCAAGACTCGGCAATAAATGCCGTTGTCAGAATTGTATTGGCAAGCTTTTACGTTGCTTCAACAAGTCTAAACAACATCTTGATATGTGAGATTGAGGAACACCCAAGAAAAAAAATCTAGCACCAACAGAGAATTATTATTCAAACAATAATGCGCATGCTCAAATAATAACCTTCTGACAATGTAAGATTTCTAAATCTATATAAGCACTTTTTCCAAAATTAATAAAAACAAATCCTGAAATTTAAGAAAATATACAAAGATATATAATGTACCTTGAGTATTACGTTAAATAATTCCAGTTCTTCAGTTCTTCAGTTTATGGCTTCAACTCTAGTTCCGTCTTGACAGCTTCTTGAAATTTCAACACTCTACTCACCATTTAACTAAGTTTATGTAAAAGCGCGTGATCTAGCCCCCATAGCATTTAAGTAATATGCTTAAGGCAGGCGATCAGCCATATGTTCTTTAGCGTTTCGAAATAGAACACAGGCTTATTTAAACTAATTATTAACTAAGATCCAACAAAGTACAGCTTAAATTTGTTTTGAACAGATTTAAACGTACTTTACCAGATTTTTAAAAGGGCTTGCTCCGCTTAGTCTTTAAATTTGGAAAACGTTGATAAAATTGTATAAATTAAAGATTAAAATATACGCCTTGATGAAAAGGTCTCTTTCAATTATTACAGTTTGCAAGCGGAAGCAAACCCCTTTTCTAAATATTACTTATTTCTAGTGGCAGGGTGCCATCATTAATGGGATAATTCAACCAACCTTGAGCCTCTGTGTTGCCCTGATCCGCGCTGGTGTCGACAAACGAGGAATCACTGTAGTTCTGCGACGCTTGCTTAGATACTGCCTTGGACGTGGTGGCAGTCACTCCGCCGCCACTTGTATTTGCCGTTGTTTGGTTACCAGCATCCTCGTTCTCCGTGAAGTAGCTTTCGTCATAGCGCATATCTCCGTAAGCGTCGTCTTCCACATAGGTGCCCTCGCCGTCACCGGCTGCGTCACCATGGTCTTCCGAGTAGTCAGGTTCCGATTTCGTGGGCAATTCCATTGGGAGTTCAATGTACTCAGCTTCCTCCTGTTGCTGTTGGCGAACCTGCTGCGTTTGCTGGTGGAGCTTAGTTTCTGTCGCGGTGACCACAGCTGTTTGTACGGTGATTTGCTGCGGCACCAGTTGGGTGGTTGTCGTGGTTCCAGTTTCAGTAGCCGAATCGAGCGGGTCAATCACATTGGTGGAGGTGCTTGTCTTCGAGCGCTTCACGCCGCTGTTGGAGGAGGAGCCAGAGGTCAGGGAGGAGCGTTGGGCAGAGCGTTTGTTTGTCGACACCAGCGTCGCCGTTGTTGTGGTTCCCGCTTGCAGCTGCTGCTGCGTTTGGATCTGCTGGGTTGCCTGCTGCTGCTGTGGCTGTTGTACAATGGTGGCTTGGGGTGCGGCAGTGGTCTGGATGACGATCTGGGTGGTTCCCTTGTTGTCATCGCCCAGTCCATCGTCCACGGTCTCGATTTTGTAGCGGGCGGAGGCGCGCGGCTGCTGGCGCTGCACACGCTGAGCCGATAATTGTTGTTGTTGTACATGAGGTGCTGCTGGCGGCGGGCTGGGCTCCTGCGGTGGTTGTGGTGCAGGATCATTCTGTAAAAATTAATTTAAAATTGTAAATTATATGAAATCGAGACAAGGAGAGTTCCCCGAGAACTAAAATTAAATTTAATGATCATTAGTACTAGGTCGTACCAGGCTAATTTTTTCTTTAATATTTTTCCTTTTAAAATATCTTATTTCTGATAACCTTTATAATGTGGTGAGCTTATAAAAATTAGTCTGGATACTTTTCAAAATGAAATATAAAAGAAAAGAAATTGATGTCATTACATTATTTTGCAACAATCAAGACTAAATACAAATCTTATCCTGGTAGTAAAAAAAAATAAATAGATGTTTTTGTATTTCCAACTGCAATTTTTTTTTTTCTAATCTCTGATACAAATGAATGTTTATGCTTCGGCACCGAATTCGCTGCGAAACAAAAACAACCACCCAGTTGCCTCTCGTCAAATAAGCGAGAATGAGGCACAAACAGTGGACAAGCGTAGTATAGTTGTCCTACTCTGGCACGCGTGCCTTTTGGCATTTGATTTGCGAGAAATTTCTCGGTACAGTCAAGCCATGCTCTTATACAGACGCTGGCGTGTGTATGTATTGGGCGCGAAAGATTGGTTGTTGTTGTTCCGTTCCCCCCCGTAGTATATTAAATGTATGCATATACTCACATCCGTTAGCCCCTTGATTTGCAGAGATTCCGCGGTGCTAATAAACGCGGGCAGGGCGTCCTGTTTCACGTTGACCTCGCCGCAGTACATAAATTGGATGAGGTCCTTCAGCGCCGAATGGCTTACATTGTTCAGGAATACTAAGTAGAAATACATATTATGTTAGGTCAAACATAAAGCTTTTCATTTAGGTACAAAACTCACCGATAGCGTGGCTGTTCGACGGCATCTGGGTGAACATTTTGCGAAAGAAGGGCGAGCAGACGGATAACACCAATCGGTGGGCCTTCACTATTTGGCCCTCGGCCGCCAAAGATACATCCACCAGATCGCCGCGACATAGCGACTCGTGGAAGCCAGCCGACAAATTCGTGTTGAAGTTGTTCCAGCACAAGCTGAATTGCTCGTCGTCCGCCATCTTGGACGAAAATCAATACTTTTCTGTATCTATGCGTTTACTGGCTGCAGGCGAAAAAGTGCATTGCACGTTCATTAATCACTGTTTTAACTAAGGCAACTAACTAAAATATTGTTTACAGCCACCAGCAAATGCCAAAAAACGGTAACCGCACACACAAAAAATGCAACGCAGCCAAAAAAGCAGGGAAATTTTCACGCGTCTGTATTTGTATGTGTGTGTGTGTAATAATTGGTTTTTATTTCATTGGCTGTTCAACTTAAATTGGCTTTGGATTGTTAATAATATACACCGCAACGAAATAACATACCTCTTGCTTATATATTTTATAAATTAAATATATTATTCCAATCACTTAGAATAATTTTTAATTTTCGCGCTGGCGACGCGCAGAACGCGTCCGATTTTTTCAACGTGAAAATTAGAAGTAAGACCAGTTGGTAAAATCGTCAGAATGGTTGAAAATGTAGGGTGGAAATTAATCTGGTCATACTAATAGCAAATTGGTGGATTTTTAATTCAACAAGGGTATTCCATAATCTGTACTAATTAAATTGTTTAAATTTACAGATATTCAAAAGCTTTACGCTTATAATAAGAAGCGTAGCGATTTAACATGCGATTAACTGCGAAAGAGGCATTATTGTGTTGAAAAATTAAATAGTTTAAAAAAAATAAAATTTTTAAAATATAACAATTAAGTTTCAATTGTTTGTAATTTTCATTTGATTATTTTGTAAATCATAAAATATTTGTACCGTCTAAATTTAACATTTAAACGCCACATTTTAAAAATTCTTTTTCAAAGTTGCCACCTCTTTATATTCATCGCAGTTTTAATTGATATCTGTCATGTATTAAAAAAATGTTTTAATTAATATGCCATGCACGATCATAATGGGTGTTACACGCTACCATAAAGTCTTAGCGGCGGGAACCATATATACTATACAAGAGCTTAAATGTATTTTGAACGCCTAGGAAACGGTTGCTTTCACCAAATCATTTTCATTTACAATCTAAAAATATGACATATCGATATACATATTCATACTTAAGAATATTCAATATATCGGAAACAACGGCTTTTTAAATTCAAAATATGGCGGGAAATTACATTAGTTCGAGGTTTCGCTTGCAATTAACATTTTCACGATAGTACTGAGAAAAACAAAGTATAAGCATGTCATTCAGATAAATAAAAAAAAGAAGAAAAAAATTGTGCATGAATAATTAGCGGCAAAGCCGTATATACTATTTCTATACTATTTTCTATTTTGAGACATGATATCTATTGCGATTGGTCAACATTTGTTTGAAAAGTGCGAACCTACTTAATATGAATACTCCAGTTCTCGATTTGATCCTCTGATTTGTTGGCTTAGTACACTCATAAAATCAAGTGTGCGAATATCTGCACTTGAGTGCCACTTGACACCCAGTTAATATAAAATACGCACGAACCAACGAATATAGGGACGATAAAACTTAAGGACTTTACAATAATAAATACTGATACTCAAGCTCAAGTAGCGAAACAAAATCTGCATAAAGTGGCTGTGAACAAACAACTAATAATAACATGGAGCAGCCAAAGGAATTCGTGACGTTGCAAGTGAAGGCAGAGGGGCCAGCTATAGATTCTGACAGTCAGGTACAATATACACATATGTATATATTTACACCACATACATAAATATGTTACTGCCTTATAGGAAGGCTGGTCTTAGAGATGGTCACTTGAAAAATGTTTCTTTCACGCCAGGCTTTAATACTTATATATATATTCACTTATCTCAAGTATATCGTTTCTTTCTTGTGTTTTATTTAAAAATCATATATTATTAGTTTAATAGTTATAAATTTATTCTTTTTTTATATATTTATATAAACTAGTAACCTTTTCACAATGTCCTATTAAGTTAAATTCAGTTGTAAAATAACAAGTTAACTTAAAGCAAAACGGTGCCTTAAGTATCTGTACTTAGCAAAGCAACTTATCAAAGAAATCTTTGATAAAGGATGTTTTCTTTAATTATCTGTTAAACATGTTATAATTTTGTTATTAAATGGGTTCTCAAACGCTCACATCTCTATCTCATATGAGAAAGCAAAAACCAAAAAGCGAGAGAGAGAGGGGAGTCTGCATGCCGATGCTGTGCTGTGATTGGCTTCATGGCGGCCATTTTCCAGTTAACGGTACTCGTGTGTGTAGCACACTTGCACACACCCATGGACACATGACCATAAGACGATCTGGGGTGAAAGAAGTACTCGTTCAGTACCAAAATCGAGCTGACAAATTGCAGACACGGTCGAGTGCGCATCGGAACGTGACTTTTGGGCTCGGATACGGTTACGCTATAAGCAATACGCTATACGGCTTACGAGTAACGGGTTACTGCTATACAATTTACTTACGATTGCGTGGTTAGTGCACTTCAGCAGCTACTTGATTGCCCAACTACCGAGTTACCCCTTCAAGTGTCGCAAGTTCAAGTGCGATTTGGCAAATTGTCGTGTATTTATTTAAATTTTAAGTGCTTCTCAAGTGGCCAAGTGATCGCTTCGCGAGGATGTTGCAGCACCATCAGCAGCAGGCTCAATCGGCTGGCTATTACGATCACTATAATCAGTCACCCAGTCCTGGAAGTTTGACAAATGCGGATTCCCTGAACACCACGCCATTCTCAGTCAAGGATATACTGAACATGGTCAATCAAACGGAGGCCTACGAAGGCGCCTACGGCCATCTCGATAGGTAAGCTCTTAGGATTTGAAGTTATTTAGGGGATATTACTAATACTATGAAGTATAGACGTATTTTTTGAGAACACGGATCACAGTTATTAAGTTTAGGTTTGATACAGCCAACCAGTAAGAAGTAGTTACTATATTATGGAGTTTAAGGGGCCATATTCCTTTAATAAAACAATAAAACTCTTAAGAATGCCGTATCTATAAATTATTAGATGATGATTTTTCAAATAATAAATTGGAAAAGATGTCGATTTCTTCATATCAAACTAACCTATTCTTTATTCAAAAATGTATTTTATTTCAAAAAATTACATATTTTTATTTGATTACCAAACTAACATCGATTTAAAACCTTATCTAAGAATTTAAAAACCAAATAATAGTCCTGGGCCAACTGTTGTTTAACTGATATTTACTTATTACCCAGCATCTTCTTAAAGATACTTTCCACTTCTACCTGTCAGTGGGTTCTTCCCGAAGACAGCGCACTACCCATTCCAAGACGCATATATTATTTATTTATATTTAATAGGGCTCCATAGGAAAATTAATTTCTACCAATTTTCCAACGAAAAATAATATTTTGATAACCTTCCGTCGAGACGTAGCAGAAGAAATCCTATGAAAACACACATAAAGCATGAATTGCAAATAGGATCTGGGACTAGGGACCCAGAGAGGGAACCTCGACTTCGAGGCTTTGACAAATCATCGTTATTTGTACAAGAGGCCGAAGACAAAGATGAGAAGACACAGTGTTAACAATAAGAACAACATGGGCCGAGGCAGGCAGTCGGGAGTTAGAGGTGGTCGATCCTGCGAACCGGCGGACGCTCGCTTCTTTTCGGGCTGGCCAACATGTGTGATTCGCATGTGAGTTGAGTTAGTCGCACCGGGGGCGTCCTTAATTTCCTGATGAGCCATGAAATGATGTCACCAAGGATCCTGTCGCGCCAGCAGGAAGTGGCCAAGAAAAAGTCTACGGTCCGGGGAGCCGCTGTGTCCGGTGTGATGCAACATATGGCGGCCATATACATTTGTGTTGGCCCGTGTTTAACCTTTCGCTTTTCCTATTTCCCTCTTTTCCCGCAGTGCGACGGCTGCCTCGGCGCTCTATGGCGCCGGTGACTACCAGCAGCATCTTCACCAGCATCCGCATCAGTACCACAATCACCAGCAGCACCAGCAATCCGAGTTGGCGGTTACGCAGCAGCAGCAATTGCATTCTCAGCAATTGGACGATGGCACCACCACTTCGTCCTCCCTGTCGCCGCTTTTGCCACCCCCGCCACACCAGCTCTACGGTGGATACCAGGACTATGGAATGCCCGCCCACATGTTCCAGCATCATCATGGACATCCCCATCAGAGTTTCCAGCACTCCGCCTCGGCCTACAACATGTCCGCCTCGCAATTTTACGCCGGAGCCTCGGCAACAGCCTACCAAAGTCCCGCCACCTACAACTACAACTACACCGGAACTGGGGAGGTGTACGCCGGAACCACGCCCTCGGCGGTGGGGATCAAGAGCGAGTATATACCCACCCCGTATGTAACGCCCTCGCCTACTTTGGACCTCAACAGCTCCACGGAGGTGGACAGCCTGCAGACACCGGCGCAGAAACTGTGCGGGAATCCATTGACCCAGCGTCTCATGGAGACAGCCAGCAACTCGGCCTCGCTGAGGGGCATTCATAATTCGGAGGAGGGCGCTAAGAGAAGATATTGAGTATATACTACAATTTAAGAGTTAGAATTAGGTCAAGGAAGAGTTTTAGAAAAGAAAAGTTAACATTTTTCATATAAAAGTTAATCATTTATAATATTTATTAGGAGATATTTTAGATTTATCTTTTACTAATCCCTTATTTTTTTGCAATATTTCAGAGGACAACAGCCAGGTGACCTCATCACGTTCCGAGCTGCGGAAGAGCAGCATCAATGGCAACAGTAATGGCCATGTGAGCAACAATGGCTCCTCCAAGCCAAGGATGAAACGGAAGCCGCGGGTTCTCTTTTCCCAGGCTCAGGTCCTGGAACTAGAGTGTCGCTTTCGCCTGAAAAAGTATCTGACCGGTGCAGAGCGCGAGATAATTGCCCAGAAGCTGAACCTGTCGGCCACGCAGGTCAAGATCTGGTTCCAAAATCGCAGATATAAATCGAAACGGGGCGATATCGACTGCGAGGGCATTGCCAAACATCTGAAGATGAAGTCGGAGCCATTGCTGTCGCCCACATCGCTGCCACCGCCGATTCCCAATCATGTGATGTGGCCTCCAGCCATTCAGCAATCCCAGCAGCAGCAGCAGCAGCAACATTCACAGCAGCAGCAGATCCATCAGATGCAGTAGTTCGGTGGCAGGACGAAGGATTCGAGTCTCTAATTTATTGCAGTTTCAAGGAGAATTTATGTTGTAGTCTAAGCCAAACGCCTCATAGCTTTAGTACCTTGTTTTATGTATATATTGGACAATAAATAAAGTTTAGGACAAACTAATTTGAGAAAATGTGTCGGTTAAGGTTTTTTATATAAAAGTGGAAATTACAAGGCCTTGTTTTAAGAATTCAAGAAGTTTCTTTCAGTTCAATAAGATCTATGATCCCTTGTAGTTTGAAAATATAAATATATACATTAATGCCAATTTTTTACACGAATATTTCCTTCTTAGTTAACCATTTGAGGTTCTTTATGCCCCTTCAAGAATCAACACCCAATACATCTTATTTTTCCTTGAGATCAATCAGCTTTTTGGCTTCGTTCAACCTTTGTCATAAGAACTTACACGATGGAACAGTGATGACTCCTGGCTGTGCCGCACTCGTATTTATATCTTTATGAACAGCTTTCGATCGCCAACCGATCCATTAGGCACCGCATCTGCGTATAATTGCCACGGATCGCCGCATAAATCAATTTTATCGGAGCGAGCGATCAGTTTTATGAAAAACTGAATTCGAAAACGAATGAAAACACAACAATTTCCGTTTTAGTGCTGGAAATGTTTTCCCTTTTTTCTGCTTTTCGCAGGGATTGGGAAGCCAGGAAAGGGAAAGGGGAAGTGCCTTGCCGGCAGACATTACAAAGGTTGCATTTATGAAACGTTTAAGTGGCATCAATGCAACTGTAAAATGTTTTCCTGCCTCCGCCAGATACAGATACTCTCGTTGAGATATACGAAATGCAGGGCACAACATCAGCCTCCTCCTCTTTGGCATTTTATGACAGCCATCGGGCCAAAGGCTAATATTTCATTGGGGGCTGATTCCAGTGGTGTTGTGGCAGTGGCATATCAATTACTCCACAAACACATGGCAGGGGTCATCGGGTGAAGGGAGGTTGCAGCCACAGACCAACAAGTGCAGCTGATCACACTTTCGCTTTGAGATTCCACATTTCTGACAGCCGGAGAAGCTTCTGGGGTTAGCCGTCGGGTAAAGATTCCGGGTCCGTTCCCTTGGGTTAAGTGTCAGTCACGGGGATCATGGAATAGCTTAAACACACAGACAAAGTGTTAATAAAATCGTTTGAGGTATAGAAAATGTATTTTTAAATAAGTTAACATACTTTAGTTAACTGACAGTTGGTTAAGCAATTAAGCAAAATCTTTAAAAAATAGATAGAAAAGTTATTAAACATTGGAAATTTGCCTACTAAGAAACCACGTTATTAAAAATTCATTAATATTAATAAATGTATAGCCAAAAGGTCTAAAATGTAACATAATATACTTTTATTTAAAACGTAAATATAAGAGGAATGTTTAAAGATGACACTAAAATCTTGTCTAACCAAATGTCAACCGAAAAGAGATTCTTGGAATCCAAATAATCAAAAGTGACTAAGGAGAGTAAGAATGCAACTCTACTTTGGTTTGTAAAATTCGAAATCATTCAATTTAGCAATATATAATGAATATGTTAAGAAAGTTTAAATTATTAAAATGAAAGACGTTTGATAACTCAACTATAACTTTAAACTAATTTGTAAAATGAATAATTTATTATAAGTGAAATATAATACATATATAAAGTTTCCAATTTGTTACAAAAATTCCTTTGGTATCATGCTAAAAGTTGGCGTCCTGGCTCCCTGTGTCCCAAAGGAGTTGTCCTTGGAGTGGCAAACAAAACGCCCTCGCAGGCGTCGGTACAGGATAATGCATGTCAAGTGGCACTAAACATGACCTAATGGACCACACTGACCAGACACGCCCCCGTCGCTAGGGCGGAATATGAATCTGTGACCCATAAACAATTACGGTCTCGTCTTTCAATGTCGGCGGCAATGTTGCGGCGACGTGTGCCCCTCCATCAAGAATCCAAGCCCACAGAATCTAGAATCTATGGTCTAGAGACTATAGTCTAGAGTCTAGACCGACGCAACTCTCAAGTGGGGAAATTTGTCATTCCCATATATCACACGAAGGATCGGGGAGTTGGCGATAAGCCAGGATAGAGTTCGCCCTGTAGCGCCGTTTAATTCATGTTCCGTTAGAGGATCAAAGGCTTCTGGAGCCGCTGTCGCAGCTGTACCCCTCCTCCTCCACCCTGCTCCATAGCCAGCATTACTTTCTCCATTTCTCCCACAAATTCCTTTCACTGCTCTCATTTGCATTTCCTCAATGCACCGCACCGCCAAAGCAAGCGTAAGGTAAGCAAATTAAGATTTATTAACAACAATAAATAAACAATATGAAAAGGCAACAATAGTAACAGTACAATCGGTGGTTTTGGCCCCGAAACAGTTTCCCATTTCCGCAGGCTTTGAATATTGCCGCCAGATCAATTACGTGATTATATCCTGGAATTGTTCTAGATACTTGGGTATGAATAACTAGTTATATGGTTTGAAAGGAATATAAAAAGAACATAATAATTTAGAAAAAAATATATAGTTAAATCAAACCTTCAAAAGAAGGATCATTTAAGAGCAACAAAAACAGATTTTATATTAGAAAACCCCTGTCTAGCCTAGCAAAAGTTTAAATCTATAAAAACGGCTTCATTTCTTTTTAAGTATAAATAATCATTCCTGCACTTAGAAATGTTGTTTTAACATTTCAAGATTTTAAATATTTTTTATTTATAATAATGCTGAGTAAGAAAAAGGGTAGAGTCCAATAGCCACGTACTTTTTAAATCGTGAAATTTGAAAACTTGGAAACTGGAAAACATTTTGTAACTTAACTTAACTTCTTAATTTGTCATATATCAATATTATCCTTAATAAATTTTTATCTTCATTACTTAATCAAAGTGACAATATTTTTCCCATAATAGGTATCTCAAAGGCGACTCTCCACTGTATGCACATTTTCACTTTGCCTTTTCGCCTTTCACTCTCGCTGTCACTGCTCCAGATTGAGATTCAGATCCAGAGATCCAATGCTGTCAAGTGGATGGCGGCGGAGTGACTCGGGGCTGGGTTCCTCCATTAAAGCCTTTGACATTTTATCGGAAAATCCATCGAGTCGCTGTATACATTTCCATTTGATGTGCGCATAAAATTGCGATCTCCTTTTACATTCGCCCCACCAACGCGTCCATGTTCTGGGTGTCTCTGTTTTATATCCATCGGTTTATGGCTTTGTGTGGCTTTCAAGTGGAAAATTGTGACAATTATATTCAAATTAATTGAGTAATTGCATTCGGAATCCGAGCGGCGGCAGCTTGGAGTATTTGATTTACGGCGTGTGGAAACTGGCACTCAAGAAATTAAATCCAAATAAGCCAATAATCCCATGGCGTTGATATCGCATCCAAGTCGGTCCACTGAAAAACGCTTCAAGTCAATGAAATTCAAGTTCCTTCCGCCGGCAACCCAGCATCCTAATCTACTTAGGGCACCTGTAAACAATCTTGGGAACCGATAGAATTCTATACTTAACCTGGCGTATTCATATTTGTTAGGTATAACCTTTTGATAGAAGAAAGTTATATTTTATTTAGTTGATATTAAGATATATAATTGGCTAGTTATTTGTCTTACTTTTTATTAGTGCCAGTAAGGAAGGGGAGTTGCCCTGATCATAGCTGCAAAATACGGCCTCATGCTTGGTTTTTAAAAGATTTACTAGTGCACTTTCCTTGCTTATCCTATAATTCATTTTTCAGTTTTTAAATCTTTTTAAAGTATTAACTTTAAGTATTAAACTACCAACTTAATATTTTTTTCATTTTAACAACTAAAACTCGAAGTTCACTAAGCTATACCTGTTAATATCACCTACCGAAGTCTAATTAATAGTTTATAACAAAATAGGCAAGGGTCGTTTTTCAAAACCCAAAGACAAATTCAATGTCATTGAGGAGGGTGGTACCTTTCTTTTGATAAAGGTTTACCATGCAATCTTGAATGTTAAATTTTCTTTATATTATTTCTAATAATATTTCTTACAATAAAAAATATAAAATATTAAAATTGTTTCCTTTTTACATTGGAATAATTGTCAAAATTATATTTTGTTGTATCCATAAACATTCTTAAGTTCCTAGACATATCCCATATCAACTCCCAAATTTAATTAATCACATATTTTGTTTATATACTTAGATTAAATCTATACTTTAGGTCTTAGTTTTAACTAATTGTTAGCCTTAGATCAATAAATAAATAAAATAAATATTTTGTGGTATTCAATGGAATTATAAGTTCAAAGACTTTAAAATTAACATTTTATAATATAATATTAACATAGCATATTCTTGCAGAGTTTACTGGAATTCTTAAGCAACATTAAAATGCATATTAAATTTGTATTCAATCGTCGACAACAATACCACCATGCATATGCCCCTAATTGTTGTTGCCCAAATGAGAACCTTTTTTTTTTATCATGAAACTAAGATCCATTGAGTCTCCGGTAACCTTATTACTTACTCACATTTTTTGGTTCTCTAAAAAAGAACAAGTTCCAGTTCCTTCTTCACCAGGATCCAGGCGATCACTAGCGCCATCTGCTCAAGCCAGAGATTAAGAGGCGAAATGCGCATTACGTGCTGCAACTTCCATTACGTGGTCTATATAACAGATGTTATAAAAAAATACTGCAAATTCAATCTTGTAAAAAGCCATCTAGCGGATGTTTTATTACAAACTAAAGAGATAAATGGTTCGAGAACAGACTAAGTGTTGCGACGAATTCGCTTTTCGCCACGTATAACTTAGACTTATTATAACTGGATTGTCCTGCTAACTTATGGTGGTTATTCCACTTTGCGTAGGCCTGACACTGTCTTACTTAATTTGTCAGAAAACGTTTCTTACTATTCGCAGTAACCCGTTGTTTATGTTGGTTATTGTCAGCGAACTCGTTCTCGTCGATTCTGGGAGACGCCAACAAAACCTGATTGTTCGCCCTCTAGGGGCTTATATTGGAACATTATACACATGGCTTGTGTATTGGCTAAACAGCTTCTAAGTTTGGCCGCTTATGCCTTCTTTTCTTGAATTCGTTTTTGCTGACCGCGACGAATTTATACTAGTTCAAGTTTTGGCGCACAATTTTTGAAAAATCCGATTTGTATAATAACTGCAACAATTTTTTCTAAATGTTTTCAAAAACAAATATGAATATAAGTTAGATTCGAATGCCATAGTACCTAATGTTTTTTCGTTCCCAATTAATTATTATACGAGTGTATTTTAACTTAGTTTAATTTAGTTAATATTAAATATATTAAATATATGAAATAAATAAAATAAATAAAATAAATAAAATAAATAAAAAAAATAGATAAAATAAATAAAACAAATAAAATAAATAAATAAAAGAAATGAAAGAAATGAAAATAATAAAATAAATAAAATAATTAAATTAAATAAAATAATAATAAAATAAAAGAAAAATAATAAAATAAAAAAAATAATAAAATAAATAAAATAAATAAAAAAATAGATAAAATAAATAAAATAAATAAATAAAAGAAATGAAAGAAATGAAAAAAATAAAAGAAATAAAATAAATAAAATAATTAAATTAAATAAAATAAAATTAAAATAATTAAAATAAATAAATAAATTAAATAAATTAAATAAATTAAATAAATTAAATAAATTAAATAAATTAAATAAATTAAAGAAAGAGAAAGAGAATGATTAATATAATTGAAATATTTAAAATAATTAAAATAAATAATAATATTAACCTTACGCTCTTAATGTAGAATTTAGTCAGTTTTCCAGCACAAAAGTTGACAACAGTTTCATGATTCGTCAATCTAAAAGTTGATTGTCGAATAAACTCAAATTATGTATGTTCAATAATCGTTTACGTGTAAGCAAAAAGTAATTGAATGTAAGAGAAAAAATCATTTTACTAAAATGTGGACGAGCCGAAGGCTTAGGCTGCTATGACTGTTAACCCTACGTAAGCTGTTCGTTTAGAAGCTTTAGACTTAGATAAATATTAAGATTAACCTAACATCAAATAGACGGCTTCCTAAAAATTAAATACCTGTTTCCCTTCTCTTATAATGATCTAGTCTTAGTAGGGTAGGTGGCATTAATAACGAACGTTATTATTAAATACAATTTATTTTAAGGTCGTCAGTCAGCCTTCATAGTAAACTTCTTTAATTAACCGAAAATTAAAAAAAAGTGCCATAAACTAAATCGACAACTTTATCGGCCCATCTATGAGTGACCTATTTTTTTAATTTATTTAAGTGACCCATTTAAGTACTCTTTAGTAAAAGAAAAACTTTAACCAGAAAGTGTGGACCTCGAAATCAATGCAAACTTAGCGAAATCGAGGAGCACTTGTCTCTGCTCAACGTTAAAGTGTCGCAGATGGATCAAATTTCTGGGCCAAAGCCATGAATGACAATGAAAAAACAGGGAAACACAAACATTTGAAGTGGCTTTTGATAAACCATTAAATAAAACTCAATACCGCAAGGACAACAAGACCGTAAGATTTTGGGGTGGTAGGGATTTCGAAATCAAACAAGAAACTGTCGAGTTTAATTGAAAACGCCAATTCATCATTGGGGGGAGGGAGGGCTGGGTAATCATAGTGGGAAACCTCCACCCTCGTCTTATGTAATCGAATACCTGCTACCATTCAAGGGTAATCGCATCAGCGAAAGAAGCTAACAAAATTAGCGACAACACAATCTTTTGGGCGCGTGCGCCTGCCACAAGCATCATTATATACTAATTACTCGAGTATTATCGAAAGTCATTCAATCGAAAAGGAATAACGAGTAGCAGTTCCTGCCCCGCGATCCATTCCAATCGCACACCGCACTTGGTCCTGAATTGGTTACTCAAATCTGACCACAAAACATCGAGACCTCCCTCTACTTAGAGCTGGCCTTCTATTGTTGGCTTGACTTTCCGGCGCCCGCGGCATTAAGAGCCACTGAATTGGCAATAAAAAGATTATAGCCTGAAGGTGTGAAGTGTAGTGAAGGCCAAGGGAATCGTCGCATCGAGCCAGAATCACCGGCTGAGCAGCGCACACAAAAAAAGGGCACAAAAGTCACCCCCAACGGTGAGGCGTTCAGAACATGTGTTGGTTTCTCTGGGACTTGCTTCCAGCATCTCACTCGATTCGAGTGAGTTCGTCTGTCTGTTTGAGTGCCTTTCCACGGCTGAGTGCGCAGCCATGTTGCCATCTCTTTGGGGCATCCAATCAGCGAGGGAGAATGGTCTTTCCTTCATAGGTCAGCCAATGGCGAGTACTTTTTCTTGAAGAACTCCCACGATTATTTCAGGATTGAGGGCTTTCTGTCTTTGGGTTTTGATTTCTTCCGGAAAGAATTATGTGACTGTAAAATTATTATATTTCGTACAGTTATTCGTTTTCCTTAAAATAATTATATTTATGCAAAGTTAACAAATGTTTAATAGGCAATTGTTCTTAAATTGTATTTAAAATATTAACATTTTCATTTTATAAAATTCTTTTTATTTTTTATTTATTTTTACAATATTGACTATTTTTCTTAAGAAACTTCCCACCAATCCATAATTCAGTATATATTTAAATGATTTATAAAACATGAGGTCAATAATAATAATAATAATAATATTTCGTTTTTTGACAAAACTTTACACCCTATTTTAGGCGAATACTTATTTGTAACAAGACTTTAAAAATTGGAAACATATTAAAAGGAAAGGTTGGTCAAAATGTTTATTTATTTACCTTAAGTTAAAATTTTCTTACGGTTTCTGACAACCCTTATTCAAAATTATTATTTAGTCATATTAAGTTAGTCTTCTTAAATCTTTTTTAAAACAGACTTTTAAAAAGTCAAAGCAAATTCATAAAGAAATTCAAAGTTATTTTCAACCTTATTTAAGAAAATAAATTAGTTGTTAATAAAAAACCAAATATTATTTTACTAAAACGAAGTTGAAAAGTAAACAATAAGTTACTGAGAAACATAATTATTCAACCCATTAAACTGTTTAGTTTTTAGTTTCAATTCGAAACAGAAATCCATTACCCAACTAACCTACTTAGAAGAAAGAGTGCGAGTTTACGGATACCTTTTAGGATTCTTTCCGAATGATTTAGATTCTAAACAAAACGTTAGTCTAAACAAATTCAAATGGTAGTGGTATATATATAAAGACCCCAAGTCGGGGGACTGTACCCAAAAAGTAAAATTTAAGCAGTTAGCAGGGTTATAAACAATAAACAGGAAGCTTGCACTCCCCGGAAAAGTAAGGCGCACTCTGTAAGTAGAGCCAACCCGTAACCATTTTACGACAACAATTTGTTTACACACTTGAGAGGAAACTCGAAGGCTCTCCAGGCAGGTTTTGGATCCACCAATGGGAGGAATCGAAAGGCAATATCCACCACCAGATGCCGACGAGCCACTTGAGTACGGCGCACATTTCCACTCCGTGAAACCGAGTGATTCTCGCCGGGGATCTCGGCCGCTATTTAAAGACGGCCCGGAGCGTCCAGCTCAAGCACATTCGTTGCACATCCCTCGAGCCGTAAAGATCGGAAAATAGAGAAAAGAAAACCGGAGTGAACAAGTGTGTTGGAAAAGCCCTTAGAGAAAGATATTTAAAATATTCAAAAAATGCTGAATATGGAAAGTGCGGGTGTGGGAGCTGCTATGGCCGGTCTGAGCAAATCGCTCACAACGCCCTTCTCCATCAACGACATCCTAACGCGCAGCAATCCGGAAACGCGTCGTATGTCCAGCGTGGACTCCGAACCCGAACCGGAAAAGTTTAAGCCCTCCGAACGCGAGAGATCGGTCTCAAAGTCTCCGCCACCACTCTGCTGCCGAGATCTCAGTCTTTACAAACTGGCCCAGGCCAAGGAGATGCAGCCCAGTCCCAGGCCAAGCCCCAACTATCTGCAGTATTATGCGGCGGCAATGGACAATAATAACCATCATCACCAGGCAACAGCCACATCGAACTCCAGTGCCGCGGACTATATGCAGCGTAAATTGGCCTATTTTGGATCCACCCTCGCCGCTCCTTTGGACATGAGACGCTGCACCAGCAACGATTCCGGTAAGTTATTAAAAAGAAAAGTTTAAAGCCATTCGCAGCTAATGGACTTTTGGAAAACCCCATCGATTGTATTGCCTTTTGTTTGTTGTGCTAATTTTCCGTAATTTTTCGCTTACAGATTGCGATTCACCGCCGCCATTGAGCAGTTCGCCCTCCGAATCACCACTCTCCCATGACGGCAGTGGTCTGAGCCGCAAGAAGCGGTCGCGTGCCGCTTTTAGCCATGCCCAGGTCTTTGAATTGGAACGTCGCTTTGCCCAACAAAGGTATTTATCCGGTCCGGAGCGCAGCGAGATGGCCAAGAGTTTGCGACTGACGGAGACCCAGGTGAAGATCTGGTTCCAGAACCGTCGCTACAAGACCAAACGCAAGCAGATCCAGCAGCACGAGGCGGCTCTTCTGGGTGCCAGCAAGAGGGTTCCCGTCCAGGTCTTGGTGCGGGAGGATGGCAGCACTACCTATGCTCACATGGCTGCTCCCGGCGCCGGTCACGGTCTGGACCCTGCCCTGATCAACATCTATCGCCATCAGCTGCAGTTGGCCTACGGAGGTCTTCCGCTGCCCCAAATGCAGATGCCGTTTCCGTATTTCTACCCGCAACACAAGGTGCCGCAACCCATTCCGCCCCCCTCTCAGTCCTCCAGTTTTGTGAACGCATCTTCGGCATCCTCCTCACCAGTTCCCATCCCGGGAGCAGTGCGTCCTCAGCGTACACCTTGTCCCAGTCCCAATAACCAGATTATGAGCGTGGAGAGCGGAGCCGAGAGCATTCATTCGGCAGCGGAAGAGGGCGATGAGAATGTGGAAATCGACTAGATTGGAGGAGGCACTATCCCGGTGGAGAAGAGGGATTACGTTTTTGTGATAGCCGTAGAAATTGTGTTTTAGTCTCTATGTGTAACCAATAGATGTCCCATAGCTTTAGTAGCCTTAAGTTTTAGTTGTATCTACCCGAGAGCTAAATAAAATCATAAATGAAAAGAAACTTCTTCTTGTTTTACTTAAAATTATGAAAACAATTTGGGTTTTAATGATTTTGGATAGTTAATCAAATCATTAGCTTTTAGAACTTTTGTTTTTCACTCAATATTAAAAAACCAGTCTGTCTGCATATCACTAATAGGGGTTCGAAGCATGCCATTGGTTGTCTGTTAATATAATATCATAAAATAATTGGTTTGAATGTGGTTACTATTAAATATGTTTTATCAGTTGAAAATTTAGAAATAACTTTAATACCATAAGACTTGGAAGAGTCCAACCAATGCCCTTAGAAAATTAAGCGGACTCAAACTCACTGGTAATATTATTTTTATTACTTTTTTAAATGGTGGTATATGGGACTAAAATCATAACTTAAATTTATTGAAATACATTTGGATGTTCTTAAATCAGAAAGCAAGATCAGAGAATTTTAAAAATATTTGAAATAAACGAATTACATTTATATAGATTATTTTCTAATTTTACAGTATAAAGGGGCCTAGAAAAAGATACAATATCAGTACGAGACATGGGGAAAATGACAGAGGAATTTTGAAGAATTTAGGAGTTAATTTTTTAAAACCACCAACTTTGGAAAATATTTTAAAAGTTTTATATGTGCCAAATTCAAAAGGATATCGGGACTTACCTAAAACTAATGCCATAAAAAAAAGGAAATGTATTTCAAAATTAATTTAATTTTTTTAAATATAATCAAAATAAATTTCAATCAAAGAATTTTAGAAATTCTTATTCGATTGTTATATAAATGATACCACATGACCTCAATTTGCATCAACAGGCGGGAGGCGCTTCTTTGGCCTCTCAGACCCTTCAAGACTGACAGCGATCGGGCGGATGAGGGCCTCGAGATGCGTTCCATTGAAGTGGGCAATGCGTGTGGCCGGAGCCTTGCGAAAACCGAAAGCCGCCGATGATGACCCACTATGACGAGCCCACTCAATGTCGACATAGAAGTGCTTCAATGTGTCAGAAGGGTCGGGCCGGACGTCTGTGACCCACAAACCACTGACTTACATACGATTCTACCCAGTGCTTTTGCACAAGATCATCATGGCAGGAGGGCAGGGGGAGGAGTGGGAACCGGCTAGGGATCAGGATCGAGAACATAGACATGTCCTTAGCAGCACAGTTGGTGGCTGACGACAACAAGGACACGCCTCAAGTGCCGCGTCGGCGACAATTGTAACGGCCTCGCCTCGGCTATGTTTATAAACAAACAAACAAATAGAATCACAAGCTGACGCCCAGGATCCGGAAAAAGGACATGTGACCAGTGGAAAAGATAATCGTCTGATCACTGCTAAACATCCACTTCAGATCAGGATCAGCGGCGGTTAGCAACAATGTTGCTCGATATTTCTTGTAAAACATTTTTAAATTCCCAACCGCAGCGTTCCAACCCTTTCGTTCACTTAGAGAAAATCATCTGCTTTGGCTGGAAAATTGTACAAAATTATATTTAGGAAAAATGTTCTCTAAAAAAAAATTATTTGTAAAAATATGTAAAGAAAGGAATGAATAATAATGTAAATTATTTAAACTGAACTTGATATATGAAACTATGAAATATTTTTAAGAGTATTTTCCTCAGTGCTTTCGGAAGTGGAACATTGAACGTGCTGCTTTGGTGACTGCCAACTGAAAAAACAACTTTGATATGAGCGATCTATAAGTACATATGTTATACTGCTCTTGGGCGCATTCTTAGACTAAAAGCCCGCAGGCATTTGACAAATTTGGGACACTAAAATCGATTGACAGTTGTAATTACTTGAGTCAATAAGAGTTTCAGCAGCTACAGCAAGTATCTTTTTGCCACTCGGTTCCTGAAATCTGTCATAATTTACTTCTGAAGAAAGACTTCTTAAAGACTACGTTTGTGAATGATAAATTAGGTGATATTTATTGTTTTAATGGAGTTTAATATCATTTTATATAATATCTAAAGTTAAATGTCTTTCAAATTTCTCTACGAAATTTATTTCTAAACATTTTCAGGCATATCTCTAATCATATGAACATGTATTAGTAATATTAATATTTATTATTATTTTTTTAAATAATTTGTATATAATAGATTGCTCTTTAACCAAAAGACATTGGCCATACGTTTTTAATATTTAAATTATTTATTTATTTGACGCTTACACTTATTTCCAAACTAAGAGCTATCGTAGGGATAAGAGCCATAACGAATTTGGTCTTAGGCTTAATATATATAATAAATAATAATTATATGACGTATCAAACTTTAAATATATGATTTAATTATTCCGAAATATTTTTAAACATTACGGAAACTTAAAACTTAATAAATAAATCCATTATTGGTATGAACTAAGCTATTCATGCGCAACGTCAATGATGTGAACATAATTATGGGAATGTAAATGGGAACACAAATGGAATTCTTTGAACAATATACTCTCAATAATCCTCCTGCCAATAAGGATATGCCATGAGTACAAACCTATATTGAGTGGGTTTTCGAGTATGAGTGCCTTTTCTGAGACCTTTCCCATTTCTCCACCCCATATCCATTTCTCATCCTATTAATTTATATACCCTCCGACTCTGAGTTTCAGTTTTATAGCACGCTTCGGATTTCGTATTGCCACGCTGAAGGGTTGAAAAAACACGATGCATGTGGTCTTGGAGTGAAATCCGTTCGTCCTGCTGCCGGCGGCTTGGCTACTAATTTGTTTATACTGCGCCGCCTCCGGATTTGTTTATGCAACCTTTTTTATGACACACATGGGTATTTTTCATCCTACGAGTTGTCAGCTACTTGACGGCAATCCTTTTAAACCGGGCCGCCTGATATTTGACTTGTAATTAATATGGAAATTAGTCATGGGGGCCAAGGGTCGGGGCCCAAGTGGCGTATGCGCAATCTTTGAACTGCAATTAGCGTAGTCGCCTGTCACCGGACGTCCTCGTAGTAGGGTAAACAATTTCGAGCGATATTCGCTATTTGTTTAAACATTTAAAGCAACGCAGAGGCCTGCATTCTTAAGTACAGAGAGTGCATTTAATGGCAAGATGCGAAAATTCAAAAGAAAATGCCAAAAACGTTGCCCGGACAGCTTAAAGTGTAAACAGAAAAAGTGCCCGAAATGTTCACTTATTAAAAATGCACCGCCTTCTAGCTTTGGCCCATTTCGATGCACTTTGCTTTAGCGTTTCAGCCGTTGTCTTCCCACATTCTCCTGTTCATTATGCCGCCCGAAACCGATCTTCGAAAGATCCCCACTCCCAAATCTCTCTCGATCTCTGGATCCGATCGTCTGCTGCACACATGTGTGCCATAAAAGGAGGCTGAGGAGATTTTCGACTGCGACTGACACTTCGATTTGCAGGCTATTGCTATTGCTGTTGTTGTTGTTGTTGTTGCTGTTGTTGCACGTGTTGCTCTGCCGATGCGTTTGTTTATGCAACATCCCTGCTACTAACAGTTCTTGGTAGGAATAACTTCACAACAAATTCATCAACTAAACTCTAAACTGTAGGGCATACAACATACTCTATGACTAAGAGGAGTCCCTTAGTTATGGATGTTTTCTTTTTCTGAAATATTTTTACTTTTCAGGAATACAGATCTTAGGTTTAATATCTTTTCTTAAATAGCATTTTAAATACAATATACATCTTGGTAACTAACATTTTTTAATTTGTTTTCTAAAGTTAAACAAAACATTCTTCTTTCAATATAAGTACAGTTTTTGAAAAAGTTTCGTATTCCTATTTAAAAATAATAAATCTTTGAGATAGTTAAAGGATTCTAAGCAGACTCTAGTTGTAATTGAAAATTAAATTAGAAAGTAGTTTCTTTAGACTTACTTCATTACAACCTATTTTCCCACCTTAAGATAATTTATAGTTTATCATTCACTTAAAATAAAAGCAATCATCTTTAGTATTAAACACTTTTGAAGAGCATTTAAAAACCGTCATGCTCCTGTCTCCTACACCATTCCCAACTTGATTTTGCTATTGAAGTTGTGCTCTTTGTTTTATGGGATGGACCTGGTGCCCCTAAGAGGGGGAATCCGAGAAGGGATTGGAGCCAGCGACATTGCCTAATTGCTTTGCTGCCGGGCGGGCGATGGGGTTTGCCACTGGGATGGGAGGAGAATGGAATGGACTAGGTAAATGATTCGTTGTCGTTTCCCCCAAAAAAAAACTGATTAACCCACTCACACCCACGGAACACGATTGCTCTGTAAACAAAACACGGAAGGCAAAGTACAAATGATGCCCCGGCCTATTTATGTTTATTTTGTTTTGAAAATTGTGCGTTTAATTTATAGTTAATTGTTTTTCAGCTTTTCATTAGCCAACCAAACTGTGTGCGGTCCCAGAGAATTCCCGTGAATCCAGCCCACAGCACCCACCTCCCACCCACCAAACCCAAAAACCAACAACATTCAGATGATAGACACTATACTCTAGACTCGCAGCAATTGTTGATGATGGTGGCTATTTGCGCAAGTTGTTGTGCAGCCAACCAAAATGGCCACCCACCTCAATTTCAATTTGAAATTCAATTTCCAACTCAATCTTCCGTCCGGCAGCTGTTGAGGGAAAATCTTTGCGCAATGCCAAATCCAAATCTAAATCCAAATCAAAATCCAAATCCGAATCCGAGTCCAACCGCCCCGCTCTCGGTGGCCACTCCTTTGCTTATTTGGCTTCAAATAAAAAAGCATTTAAATGATTTCGAGAACGGCGGCCATAGCACCACCCATAGCACCACCCATAGCATCAAATTGAATGATAAATGTTTTGGCTTTTGTGATTTTGTTTATTGTTCAAATTTCGGCTAAAAAATTTCAAATTTTCACCGCATGCATAAAACGGTTTTCCCATTTTTTCTCTCTTTTACTTTATCGGGTTTTATAGACAGCCATTCCAATTGGCGAATGCTGAGTTGAAGTCCAACTAGCACTAGATGGATGGTTTGTTTTTTTCGCGAGCTGTTTAGATGAAAATCTTGTGGTGTGGCAGACTGAGAGATAGAGATAGAGAGGGAGAGAAAATTAGCTACGAGATACGCACATGTGTCCAAGTTCCATTGGGGCAACTTAATTAACGTTTTTAATGGACCTGCCGACTCGTAATGTCCGACAATTAAAGTCGCAATAGACATTTGGTTTGGGGCCGCCGATCGATTCAGGCGTTAGATTAGCCCCAGTGGGGCCAGCATCTGAGTGGGTGAGATGTGATGTTCCTCATTGCCCAATGGCATGGAGGCCTTATCAGCTGCCTGAGCGCTACTCAATAGACTACCAGGCGGAAAACATACACTTGAAGATCCATTGATAAACAGTCACTTGGTATGTGAACCGGGTGGGATGTGTTTTTCACTCTGCACCATTTGGCACCGAAAAGTGTTTAGATGGATCGAGATGGGAAAACAAACGAAAATGGTTTGTCGTTTTGGTATGGTAAACACTTCAATGAATCAGTTTCCTGGGTGGAAAAGTTTTCAGCATCGGAATCTTTTGCCTGGGAAGCACCTGCAACTTACTCGCTCGTTAAAAGTTTTGTTTTCCTTTATTTATTTCAAACAACATAAAAACGCTTAAAGCCTGTTTAAGTGCCCATTGGCTAGTGTAAACAGTTTTTGTATTGGATGTTTAGGGATGAGTCACCAGAAGGTGTAGGTAGGTGCTTCAGGAATTTGCAGTTGATTAGGTGATCTTTGAGAAACATATATTAGGTTCAAGAACATAAGAACGTAAGCCTAATAACCCAAATAATATGAAAACAACGTATTTCAGCCATCAACAAAATATTTACAATCACATTTCATTATCATTTCTTAAAATAAAAAGATTTTACATGCTAAATTTAAAATAAAAAGATTTTACATGCTAAATTACTAAGAGTTTGCCTACATACTACCAACTTAGTACCTATGATATGCCACCCATAAACTTCTAAGATAGAAGAGAAAGAAATATATGTATTATTAGAAAGTAAATTTAATAAGAATTCATCATAATTCTAAGGAGTTCAACTAATTGGCTTTCCATCACATAAATTACCTTGAATTTCCCGCAAATGCATAAATCAACAACGAAAATTGCCAAAGAAGAGCCAGTTTAATGCCTCGTTAACTTTCGTCACTAAGCTGAGCAATTTCGGTTTCAAATGAATTCCACCTACTTTTCCTTAGTGGCTTTTCTCTTTTTTCCTCTCTTTTATTTTTTCATAATCATTATACAAAGAATTCGGAACGTTCTGCCACCCAAACGCCTATCGGCCACACCCACTCCAATGTCGGCAGCTATTAGCAGCAATTTTCAATTTTCTGATGAAGCACATGGCAAGAGAGCAAATTACATGGCGCACAAGATGAGACATTCACTTTTCTTTTGCTTTTCTTGCCTTGGTTAGTTTTCCTTTTTTTTTGCTGGATGGCATTTCCCCCTCGCCCTTTTTCAGCTCTGTCCTGGCCCTGGTCCTGGCTCTGGAGAACAGCACACGTACGCAATTGTCCTCTGAGCGCTCGACTTCGATTCGAAAAGAACATTTTCTTGCAATTTCTGCTTTTCTTTTGGCTGGCTGGATGGCTGAGTGGGTGGTGGGCCGAGAGAGAATGTAGAGCCCAGACGGGCGCAAATGAACGGCCATTATGTTTATCCGAAGTGAAAGCGAGGGCTGAAGTGAATTTTTAACGAGCTGGGAAGACCCGAGAACTTGCTCAGTGCGTTGCAGTGAGTTAGAGAGTTATCCTGCTGCCAAAGGACATGCTTCAATAGAATAAGAAGAAAATTACACTTAAACGCTGCGGCGTGTCGACAGCTTCAGCTTCTGCAGATGGTCAGGCCTTTATGAACTTGCTGAAGGTATAGTAATATTGATCTGATCTTTGTGATGCTATAAGGAGATATAGTTATTTGATCTCGAAAGATTAATAAAACATTAAGTCGCATGTTAGGCACACATGTCTTAGGGTAATACCAAATCCCATATACATGACTGTAAAGCTAAATCGGTACAAGCTAGCTGATTATTTTAAAATATTTTTCAAAAAGTTTAAAATATATTTTTTTATCTTTAAACGAGTTTTTGCTTATAAAATGTATATACATAAACATAAACATAAACTGTATTTGATGTCCTCTTTTTTATATACAGAGTATCAAATCTTCTGCATTCTCATTACAAGTTCACTTTCCCTTTGGGCTGGCCAACTTTGATTGGGCCGCATTCAAAGGTGACCATTCAAATTGCCGGTCAATTAACAATTTCTTCCAGAGACCCTCCTCGTTAACCTGTCTTCAGCTATCGCATAAGCACATTCCAGGGCCGGAGGATGGATGGTTTTAAGTTTATTTGCCTAAGCCGTTGACAGACAAACAGCTTCGGTTCACCCCTTTCCGTTGCCCATTCTCAAATACGGAGAGGCAGCACTCATACGCCCTGTGCGCCATCTGCATTAACATATCATTAGTGCGTGCGTGTGTGCTGTTTGCCTGTTTATCGATGCTTTTGTTTACAATAAAGCGTAATCATGTGTTACAAATACCAATAATAAAGCCCATGGGCCATGTAACCCTATAGCAATAGCAAAATCCAGCATGGGGCGTCGCACCCACTTCAATGTCAGTCCATGAATGCATAATGAGCCCGTAGAACTTCCACGGATCTTGTCTCCGCACTCTGGCCTCAAGTGCACTTGCCGGAGAGCTAGTCTCTCATTCCGGGAGTCGTGTAAACATCCCGATTTCTGTGTCCAAATGGCGCTCGAACTGGCGCTGCCATTGCAGGAAGCAACTGTCTTTGGGGTCACTTTGTTTATGAGATTTTTGGTATTGGATAGAAATAAAACTTGCAGGTTTGGGATAATCATGTGCGTACTTAGAAAGCTGCAAGTATACTCAAGTATATTCTAAAATTGTCCATAATTAAATTCTAAATTCTAATTCTTTATTTCTTCATCAGACATATGCAACTTTAGCGTTTCTTAAGCCCCAAATTGAAATTATTATTGAGCCTTTCCAGGCAAAAGTAACACTGATATTTTTATGCTTTCTCTCAACGTATATTGATTCTTGATGATTTGGTAAGTTCGTACTTTAGAAGACATGGCATCATCAATTGGGCAATCCAAATCCAAGGCAACATAATGATGATGTTGAAATCCCATTAAATCTACGATGAGTTTTTTTTATTCCTTAAAACTTTTGCATTTCTGCTTGATTCGTAAAGAACACTTGGATGGGCACTCAGGCGCCTTAAGTAGAATATTGTAGGGCCATTCCAATTTGAATTCATTAAATACTTAAGAAGAAGCTCAAGTGCCAAAGCTTAAGTGTCTGGGTTATTATTGCAAAAATATATATATGAAAAGCCACAAAGTGCAGGTCAATAAAATATTTTTTGGGAACCCAGACATGTGAGGCTGTGCTGATTTTTTATTCAAGAGAAAATATTTACTAAGATCAAATTATTATTAACAAGTTTTTGAGACCTTTAACTGATTGCTTATTCGGATTTCGACTTTTTCTCATTCTTTTCAACCCAAAATACGGATTTTGTCTTTCTGTATATCACATAAAAAGTCAAAAGAGGGCATAGGGCCATAGCCAGTAGAATGGCAACGACATCCAGCAGATAAAACTTGTACCAGGGTAGATGGACTCCTGCTGCCACCATATGAGGTGCTCCTCGATGCTCTACGACGTAATCAATCCAGTAAATAGCCGTGTCCATAGCACCAAGTGGACGATCCCGGAAAATGCGCGAAGCTTTGTCCATGTTGGCCTTATACTTGGAATTCGTAAGCAGCTCAATGAGTGCTGACTTCAGTAGATCCTTAGAAATAGTCCGATAGTCCAACCCAATAGCATATCCTGCAGCTTCGCCCTCTTTTATATTGACATTCTGATCGAAATAAAAGGGCATGCCGAGCACAGGAACCGCGTGATAAACTGCCTCCTGCATTCCAAAGAGTCCACCATGGGCGAAGAATACTTTTATCTTCGGATGGGCTAATATATCGGACTGGGGTAACCACTTCTCCACTTTGACATTGTCTGGAAGATTCGGCAGCTGGTCGTTTTCGAATTTCCAAAGGACTCGTTGTTTTAAGCTGGCGAAGACTTCAAGGAAAATCTTCAGCTTTTCGGGTGGCATATCCGCACTGCGGACCTGGGAACCTGAAAGTAGAGAAGATAAACTTTAGATTGATGTAAAATAAGGTCTTAGAGGGATCGGGAAACGTTTTTCATTCTGTTAATATATTTATTATAGAAGTATTTGCTAAACTTACCCAAACTGAAGTAGATTGCCCCGTGCTCCGCTTCATCTAGGAAGTTTTTGATGTGTTCTGGCAGGGGTTTGGGTGGCAGAATGTGCAGTCCTCCCACCGAAATCATGTTCAAGGACATGGGCCTTGGGGTGGTGAGTGGCATGTAGCTATTCAAAAGAATAAGCGAAATGTTTCGTTCCAATTCCTTAACAGTCGGCACTTCAGGTATCACATTCGCAAAATGCTTTCTGATAACGGCATCCTGAGCTGGGTAGTAAGATACTTCCCTAACAATATCCTCGGAAGCGGTGACCACAACGTTTTCCAATCGTTCCCATAATGTCATTCTATCCGTGCAAGACAGGAAAACATTCGGGACGTACGATAGCGGATTAATGAAGCCAAAGATTTGGCTGAAATAGTTGGCATAGGCAAAAGTTGATAAGGTAATGACTGGAATTTGATAGAGATGGCCCAGCATTAGGGCTCCTTCATTGTAGAACTGCTCCACCAACAGCAGATCGAATTTTCCTGTCTTATTCTTGGCATGGATTAACTCCTGAACTTCCGAATGGGCCAGAGCGAAGTCCGTGGACTTAACACCAATGTGCTGGGCCAACCGCATGTGTGTCAGCTTGGGCATGTCCACCATATCCAGCGCCGATTTGGTCTTCATAATCTGAGATACTATAAAATAAGACTTTATAATATGATTTTGGCAACCAAAGAATTCGACTTACTATCTGCCCATGTGTCGTAATGGGGCAAAAGAATTTCCTTGTAGTTTGGGCCCAGGTTTTCTTTGGCCAACGATAAGGGGGTGATGAAGGTGACCTCGTGACCACGTTTCACCAATTCCCTTATAATGGCATTTGTCATCATAAAGTGACTTCGAACTGGCAGAAAGAAAGGTGCCAAAATTCTAGCTCCATCTCCAAGCGCCAGAAGGCATAAAATTAGCAACTTGAGTATCTGTGTTTATTAAATAGATAAAAATGTGTTTAAATTACTGAAATTTCGTTTAATTTCTTATCTTTTAAACACAAAAACCAACCATTTTATCTTATATCTTTGGCACTGGGCAGTCACGGCTATACTAACCTAGAAAGAGTCTTAGCAGAGGTTTTATATGCTCAAAGGTAGATAGACATATCTGGCTTCAGTTCAAGATACCGATGAAACCAAATTTTCATTTTCATATCTTGTGGGCAATAAACTCAGGTAGTCTGTAATGATAAGAGATTTTTATCTTAGGAGGTCGATGAGCAGAAGGAATTTGACACAATGAAAACAAGTTTACGCCTCTGGCAGATTATCTGCTGTCTTTGATTGGTAATAACCGTGTCTGACGATTGTTTATCGGTAGCTAACCTTGTAGAACGGGAAACTGAGATCTTCTTCAAGGAAATGTTAAAAGATAAAACTATAAGTTATCCTATAATAAAATGTTTTCCATCTCTTGTTAATTCAAAATCTTTCCTCCCCAGTTTTATGTTGTACTTCCCAAAACGATCAAATTAAACAATCGGAAATAGTAAATAAATCATAGACTAAATTAAATATTTGCTTCCCGGTTGCCACCCACTATCCATCCATCCATATGGTGTGGTAAATTAAGGTCCTAAACTGAACAGCTTGCCATGTAAAATGGTGGATGTATTTTCACCCATTCATACATATAAATGGTTAAATTGCCATAAAACTCATCTCGCCAATTTGTAGGCAATTAAATTTAATGTTTGAACTGGAATTTCGTGGGATTGTGTGACGTCCGGCGTGGTCTTCTATATGGACTTTGATTCTGATTCTTATTCTGATTCTGATTGTGATTGTGATTCGGATCAGCAGCACCGCATCGATCATTCAATTTGGCAGCCATTCGAGGCGGACTTATTATTGTTTACTTTGTCATATTTTGCCAATGTGTTTTTATTGTTCTGCGGGCCGCATTCGTACTCGTATTTAGATTGCCTCTATTTGTTGCTGCATGCCAGCAGCAGTGATACTTTGTTTATTGTCTCGGCCAGGCCAAATAAATGCAACGACTTTTCTGTGGTAAATTTGGCATTCGCCGATCGCCGATTGCCGATTGCCGATTATCGATTGGCATTTGGCGGGTGCTTTTCCAATGATTTGGCCATAAACCTTGATCGGTCATGTGTGTTCTCTGGGCGGAGTGGGGGTCTTCGAAGGAGACTCAAGTGGATGAAGTTATTGCAAATTCTCTAATCTTTGGATAATGCCCCATCGTTGGCAATCTCACTGATCACAATGATCTCAAACGGCCAAATGCGGCCATAAATTCCGCCTCCGATGGCCAAGTGTTCCATCAAAATCAAAGCTTTTAAGCCGCCGCCTGAAGTGTTTCGTTTGCGTTCTAATTTGCCTTTGCAGCGAATATACAATTAGCCGCTATTACATTAATAATACGCGTACTTGTCTTCGGCCAACCCCAATCGTAATTGAAAAATCAGCTATTTCCAATATGGAAAACGAAACAGAAATGGAATTGAAAAGCGCACATTTGGCCAAAGTGAATCGTCCGTACTTAAGAGCTTAAAAGTGCGCATCTTGCCTCACTGCATCTGTATCTGAATCTGACTGTGTGTGCGATTCTGAATCTATCTTTGTATCTGCACGGGGCATAACTTATAGTACATATTACTGATTGATTTCAAGGGTATATTGTATTTGTTGAAAAGTATCTAACAGTTAGAGGGAAACTTTTTCGACCCTATAAATATATATTCTTGATGAGAAGTCATTTTTATCCCTGAGATGTCGGGAACAGTAAGACCTAGCAGACACTTCCTACAACGTTCTTACTGGTTGATATATAATCCCAATGCCACCAATGACAAAGGTCGAGCAAAGGCGAGGGAAACCTATATTGAACACATTTGTTTATTTCCTTCTGGAAGGGCACCCTGGAATCAGATAGTCTTATGAATGACAGCAAAGAGACCTTATGACCAGGCCAGGGCAAAGTATCTTATCGGAAAATATAACCAAATTTATTATTGCTTCCTACATAGTGTTACATACTTATCAACGAATTCAGTACACCTTTTTAATCTACCACTAACGGGTAAACTAATGCCTAAACCATAGTTTTCCAATCATACGTTGCCACACTGCGTTGCCTTCCTTCCTTTTGCGGCGACGCTAATATGCAATTGGAAACCGTCGGGGCCGTCAGTCAGTCGGTTTCCCCTACATGCTGATGCACCGGCTCCATGATCATGTAATCATGCGTGTGGCATTGTTTACAAATCACGCCTTGTCGCCGCTCCCGACCAGACAGGACAGGACACACTTGAGCATGTCGGCAGGAGGGGTGAAATATGTGTGAACGCCAGTGCCTGGTTTCTCCAGGATCCGGATCTGCTGGCTACTCAAGTGGCCAGTGGTTTCTGGGAGTCTCGGTCAAGGTGGCTAATTGGGATCGCCACTCGAAGTCCGTCTAGACAGCTGTTCTGCGGTGGTCCTGGGCCAAGTGGCGTGTTTTGATTGTCGCCCCGCGGGACATTTGGGACAGATTAGTTGACCACTGTTTGGAAATAAATGTCGGAAAGGCAGCGCCAAGGCGGAAAACTGGAAGGGAACGGACCACACAACAGACGCAAATAACCCAAAACCGTACTCCAAATAAGCAATGTTGCGATGCAACAACAAACAGTGTTGCACAGAGAGGAGAGTTTGATGAAAACTAAATCAAATTTGGTTAAAAAGTGCTGAACTTTTAATATGATTTATGATGACTTAAATCTCATGGTAACAAGTTTTAATAAAATGTAAATTATATTCGAAATATGTACTTATTATTTTTCGAAGGCAGTTAGTTATGGTTTAGTCTTTGTCTTACTTTCCTTTACTCTAACTTGTTTTTATATGATGATCTATTTTACTAAGCGAAATTATAAAAAATGATTAAAAATTGTTTTAGGAAGTCAATTTTTATTTCTGATCATCATTGGTTTCTATTACTTTTTCTTTTACAATACCATAAAAACTTTAAAACAATATTTGTCAATGTGATAAAAAATATCTTTAAACCCTTTTGTAGTTATTTATTACCTCATCTTTCTTTTCAGTGTGTTTCGCTATTCCACTAGTACATTAAATGCATTCCCCACAGCATTTAATTTACTAGTGGAACTCCTCAGCTCGGCTCCATTCATTCATCCCCAGCCCTGTCTATGCAGCCATCTATCCATCCATCCATCCGTCCATCCATATGATCCATCAGGGCCATCAGGTGTGTGGTGGCGTTGGCTTTCTGGGATGTGGATGTGAATGTGAATGTTCCACGGCCGCCGCCGTTAGAAGCGCAATTTGTTTATGCTACTTTGTGAGCAATAAAAGCACAGACGGCCATGTGGGTGGTCCCACCTTGGGCCTTTCGATCTCCGGATTTTATGCAGTCGCTGGATATGATGTATGGTACTGGTACTACTGAATGCCCGGAATGGGGATGGCAGCTCCCTCGCCGTGTGCTAATCATCAGCGGCTCTTCGGAGTTGTTCGTGTGGAACTAATCAGAGCATTGTGTTTGGAGATGCAGCAGGATGTGGTGGGTGGCTATCCCTGCGGGTAATCCCTGTGAGAATTAAATTGAGTCATAATTGAATTGATTTCCAGCGAAAGCGGCCACTTGCAAGTGTCGGAATCGAGGGTCATGGAGCAGCTGTAGCTGTATAGCTGAAGTGGCCGCCAAATTATTTGACATAATTGAGCCATAATGAAGCGCTATCTGCGTGTGGGAAAGGGTGAAGCCACTCAAGTCGGGTGCTCAAGTACCCATTGAACTCCAATGGAGATGGGATGGCTTTTTCGGTAGTTTGTTGACCTCGAAGATCTCTTATGACCCCAAACTGCTGTAGTTTTAAATCCTAGCAAATACAATTTTAATTTATCAACGAGTATGGCCAAGATATTATATGAAATATTTTATAAGAGTCAAATCAAATAATTCGATTTTTATATTTTAACATTATAATTAATGAAAATCGATTTATTTATCTCATTAAGACTTTTCTTTATTTTCTGATTTTAAAACTATTATATTTTTGCATGACTTTTCTTTTTAAATATCAGCTTATTAATAGGCAATTAAAAGTGTTTAAGTTATTTGAAAATTAAAAAATAAAATAAGATAGATAAAAAAGCAACTAATTTTTCGGTAGTCACAGCCTTAACTGTTCCTTATTTATTAATTAAATACATTTTTATAAATTTGAAAATGATTTGATAAAGCAGGCGGTGAAAGTTCAAATGTCAGTTAAGAATAAGTTAATTTTTCATTACGAATTATCGAATCGAGTCCAGAGGTGCGGGAAATATTACAGATAATTGTAAAAATCGTAAAAAGAGGACTATTTTTTCAACTTTTTAAATCAGGAAAATAAGAAGGTAGAAATTTATTTAATTAGCAAATATTTATATTATTATTATAACGATTATTTATAACGAAAAAAATATTAAAAACTTTCATTTTATGTTCTCGATTTTCAGAAATTGTTCAGAAAAAATGGAATGGGGTCGTCGCAAACGTGATGATTGTAGTGATGATGAGTTTGCAGATTATCGCCGTAAGAGAACCGCCGAAATTAGGTTGGTCACGGTGGACAGGTTAATGGTGGGGCTAAGTTTCCAGAGCAGTAGTTCCATCGAGCTGAAGCTGGAGAACCTATGGTACCTGCTGAGAAACAACATCACCGCCGAGCTAAAGGGCCACATCCTTACCCTGCTGGTAACCTGTGTGGGCGAGCATCCCGGCCAGGCCAGTGCCTATGCCACATTTGTGGGTCTGATGAACTTACTGGACTACGAGTTTGCCGCGGAATGTGTAAAGGTCATGATGCAGAACCTCTACGAAAGCATGTGCACTGGCGAGTGGTCCAAGTGCGTGGGAACAGTGCACTTCTTGGTGGACCTATATAATTGCAAAATGGTCACCGCGGACTCCTTGCTGAAATTCCTCAAGAATTTCATTAAGGAGTGTGAGAACCAGAGAGACCCTGAAGATGTGGTGGATAGGGGACGTCGTGATTGGCTGGCCTACTGCGTGCTATCTGCCTTGCCCTTGTTTGGCGGTGAAATGGAGCAGGTGAATGGATTCGATGATCTAATGCTCACACTGCAGATTTACATCAAGAAGCGATATGCAGCGCATACTGCCACATTGAGTATTTGGAGGGATTTCAAGCAGCTGGACTGCTTGGAGTTGCTGTGGCAGCAAGTGGACGATATGAGGCAGGTTCAGTGGACCGAGCCGGAGCACCAATTGATTTCCAGACCCTATCTGGCCTTCATCGACACCTTGAGCCGAGCTCAGCAGCATGTTTTGCCCTCCTTTCAGGTGGCTCCCCATGAGCCGGGATGCCGTTATCCCCCTCCGCGTGTATCCTTTCGCCTCTTCTCCTATGACGCTAGTGGCGAGGAATACCAAGTACCCTATCCAATGCGCATAGAGCGACATTTTTTGGAGGTCCAGGTCCGTGATATGTTGCACTCCTCTCACCTGGATGTGAGGAAATGTGCCGCCAGCCTTTTGGCCTACGCTGTCTCAAAGCCCCAGCTGACTGTTTATCACTGCATCGTGGAGGTGATTCTGGGCGAGATGCTACAGCTGCCCAAATCCCAATGGATCACTATCAACTACGGTGGTATTCTGGTGGCTCTGTGCAAGGGCCAACCGGACCAGGTGCCCCAAATTATAGAGCAGGCCACGGACATTCTCTTCAATCGCTTGGACTCCATGAAAGTGGCCTGCTTCGATCGGTTGGTTAACTGGTTGTCGCACCATCTAAGCAACTTCGGATACACTTGGCAATGGAATAGGTGGTGTCAGAGTCTCCCAGCATCAATGGATTCTATTCAAACTAATATTGAGCCGAAAGTGGTCTTCTTAAGGGAATTGCTAAAGAAGTGTCTCAGGTGGGAGTTACCTACGTACTCGAAGATATCTTTTAACTTATTTATGTACTCTCTGCAGACTTTCGTATCACCAGAAAATAGTCGGAATTATTCCGGGTATAATGGCCCGCTTGCTTCCGCCGGTTTGCCTGCCGCACCTCAAGTTCGTCGACCAGTCGCACCCGGGTGCGACTTTGTCCGAGAATCTCCTAGCAGCGATGCGTAACCCGCAATCGTGCCCCAAAATGATATCCACTATCATAAGTGGCGCTACGGATATCGGCCCGATGCTCAAGATAGGGGTATTTACCCAGAACTGTCTCCACCTGAAGTCCAAGTCCTTTAGCCACACTTTCGCAATTCTCAGCAAATACGAATCGGTTTTTAAGGTAAGTTTGCCCAATTTTTTCAAAACGCTTTTATATTTCTAAAATATTTGTTTATTTTTCATTTTAGGAATTGTCTGCTGGCAATTCAGATCAGCAACATACGATTTTGGACGGAGTCTCGGAAGTGTGGAACGACAACGAGCACTTTCAATTTGTGGTCGCCGAAAAGCTCCTAAAGATGGAATTGATCGAGCCGTTGTTCTTAGTATCCTGGCTTTTTGGCCCCCAGAACCACGAGAAACTCACCAAGATGTACATTTGGGAGATGCTACACTCCACTGTGCGCCATGTGAAGCGCGTCCAGAAAAATAAGGCACCTGACGACTTGGATTCGCCAGATGGAAAGAATAATGCGGTTAGGACTTTGCTACTGGACATTGTACATCGCTTCCTAAAGGTCCTTTCTGCTCGCGCGATAGGTGAGGGATCCACTGAGAACTACTGGTTTAGCTGGGTTCTCGGCCGGCTGGAGGAGACTCTCTTCATCTATGCGGATGACTTCAAGAAAATGTCTGACAAGCTAATCAAGATCTTGAAGGAGTCGGACCTTAAGAGTGAAATCTTAAAAACCGTTTATGCCTTTCTTGCCTTGGATATGTAAATATTTTTTATGGGGACATTACTTAGCTTACATTACTTTTTTAACATGAACTCTCATAGAAACTTACAAGTTCCTTAATTTCTTCGAATACTTACCTTGTATTTTTCAATAAAAGAAGTTGAAATTTAAACGTCTTGAATAACATTATCGATTGCAACCCGAGACACTTACCATTCGATAAGTTGCAAGCACGCCACCTGGCTGTGATATTCTTCTGCATTATTTATTTACAAACCAGTTGTATGGTTCATGTTCTTGCTAGCAGTTTTCGGCCGAGCAGCTTTTATCCGAGACAGTCTGCAAAAATATCATCAAATCAAATATTTAATTATAAGTTATAAATTTAAATAAGAAGTCTTCTTTTATAGATTTTTTGTATATGAAATTCTCCTTTTTGTTAAATTTTTTAGGTTTCGATTCGAAACTTTCGAACTTAAATCTTTATATTATTTCTTACTTTTTAAGCATGGTGTGTGTATTTGCTAAAAAAATAACTTTTGTGTCAAGCAGCCTTTTTCCGAGATTTCTTATCCGGCAAGTCCTTACGCATTTCAGGTTTCCTCTCTACATGCTCATATTGAGCAGTTTACATAAAAAGATGTCATAATCTTAAATATTTTCACAATACCCTTCTATGTTTGTAACACAAGTAATTCATACATTTTACTATTTACTATTTTTATATAAATTAAGTCTACCAGAAATTTCGCTGCCACAAAGTTGTGCTTTATTAGATATTTTTTACAAGAATATATATAGATACATAGCACCCTCCACCAAAATATTTGCATAATAATATTAATAAGCTGGTATTGCGCGATTAGCCATTGCGCTTGAGGGAGCTTAGCCATTCACGATATTGCCAATCATTTCCAGGCAAACGGCGTTAGGACGTTTAACACCGTCCTTGTCATAGGCGGTATACGTTATCACCGCCTTGTGCCGACCTGGATTTAGAGGCACTGCCATGCTGAATGTTATTTTAAGGGCATAGGGCTCCAATACTAATGTTGTCTATAAAAAATCAAATAGTTAAATTAAAATAGATTAAAGAACAGAACTTTCATAGGCTCCTTACTCCATCGGTAATGCATTTGTCCTTTACTTGTTGTTTGTTAATCACGTGTTGGGTTGAGTAGGGATAATAAATGGTACTCTTGTCGTAAAAGGACTTGCAAAAATCCTTAATATTCCCTTTTAAAACAGTCGGAGTCCAAGAACCTCCTTCATACTTATAAACGGCAACTTCAAGCTGAAATTTGTTGAATTGCAAATGAAATTTTTGAAAATTTAAGTTATTTTGAACTCACCTCTACGGTATCCGATTGATCGACTTTCCAGAGCATAGTCATGTTTCCTGAAATATCAACAGCACCATTTTTACCCTTTTTGCGGCTAAGGGCGGAAAAGTCCACGAAATTATTTCTATGTATTCGAATTCTGGTTTATCCTTGCACTCGCTAAACAACTCCACTGATTCGGGCAGAAAATTGCGATTCAGTTCGATGGAAAGGCCTACAATTTGCAGCAGGATCAAGATCTTGCTTAACGAAGACAGTTCTCGCCCCATATTTAACTTTTTCGGAATGCATTCCTTTTTGGGGATCCTTACCTTTTATAAGACACCATTTTAAATGTTATATAAATTTACAAAATTAATATTTCATATTTTCACGCTCCTGTTTTTAATCTATTTAAGTCACGCTCACAAATTAAGGAGATACGAGATGTATTTTGATCAACAGATATTTTGTGTTCTACAAGTTAAACGTTCCTAATATATTATCTGAAAGATATCAACAACATTTTCGCGTGCCAATAAACAGATTTATTTATCATTTTATGTTCGATGTTTGGGATATAATCAGGATTGTCCTTGTCTTACGTCATCATCGTTTCAATTTTTCATTTCAATGGTTTTTTCATAGCCCAAAAGTAATACAGTTTGTTTCTAAAATATTATTAATATTTTGCGAATTATTAGCCAAATGGTGTAATGGAAATGCGTGGATAACTTATTTTGGATCAAAAATAACTTCAGACTCCTACAGAGTCCTTTTCCTGCAATGGAAAAGATTTATAAATTTGACTTACTCCAAAATATTTTACACTTATTAATGACACATTTACATGATGCATTTAAAAATATTTTATCGAAAATAAACTTTTTGGACTAGAATATACATAATATATCGCATATGTATATAATGTATTAGTATATTTGGAGTGCTCGGAAATCTTAAAGGAGTGAGTTCATCCTCGTTGTGGAACCCATTCTTCTTAAAATACTTGAAATTTATAGTGTGCCTCAAAATTGAAAACGAAAACCCGAATAAACTGAAGTTAAACGTCTAACAAGTGTAATACGTGTATAAGAAACATATTCAGGAATGTCTAAGTGAAATCAATTAAACTTATTTTCATTTCTTTAAATTTTCTCAAACAAATTTAAAAACAAACAAAAAAAAAATAAAGTTTTAACGGGTAGAGTTCTTAATGTTTAAATACAAATAAACAACTTTTAAAGGCCTTACATGTTTTATAAATGTGTTTACTGACCAGCAAATTTTGGAGTTAGTTTAGGGCATATTTAGAATTATATATCAAAGAACTTTTTGGTCCTGAACCACAATAACCTTCTCATACTAAAACCACCCACATGACTTTAATTTTTAATTTAAAAAAAAACAACAAGAAGAATACAACTGATATCGAATCGATCTTCGACTTCACAACTTTACTTTTGGAATATACAGTTAAAAATAATTGAATTAAGCTTAGCACAAGCAAAATGTGATTGCGTTTTATAATATAGCATAAATTCATTAAATATTTATTATTTTAAGTACATGCACAGTGCCTTTAAATATAGTTAAAATAGATTTTGTAATACTTTTATTAATGAAATAAAATTAAAGAAATTTGCAATTCCTTCGGACACTGGGCGGTTCTTTATATATTGTTTTTTTTTTTGGCAAATTAGAAACGAATAAAAGCGTTTATTCTTAGTAGTTTACATTTTAAGCTAATCACTGTTTAGCCTGTGGGGGCAAATAAGATGCCGATGGTTGCGTGTATAGCAACTTTGCCATCCGAGTAGCGCATCAGGGTCATTAGCTTCAGCATGCGCAGCTCCTCCTTGTCTTTATCCTTCTCCCGATCTCGATCCCGATCTCGATCCCGATCCCGATCCTTATCCTTATCCAATCCTAAGCTCTGCATGTGCAGTGATGGGTGGTGGTGATGCTGATGGTGGTGGAGCTGCGAGCGATTGGGATCTGCTGACTGGTCGGGTCTTTAAAATACTCAAGTCATTAACGTTCTTTAAAAAGCTTTGGTTCGCTGACATTTTCTCGCACTGCACGTCCTTCTTCAGCTCCTCCATGTCTCTCTTGAGTTTGGCCCGTCGGTTTTGGAACCAAGTGATGACCTGTTTTGAGAAAGTGAATATGTAAGATACTAATTTAAGCTTCCCAGAGAGGATAATACGTTTGAAAGTCAAGGATGTATTACTTATTACCCAAAATTCCCAATAATGAGGCATATTTCCACAAACATAGATATCATTTAGTAGTATTTAATTTAAGTAGTATTCTTGACTTGCAATCGTATTTTCCCCCTAAGCTAACCACCTACAGACATTACAATACTCACCTGAGCATTGGACAGGCCCAAGCCGCCGGCTATTTCATCGCGATCCGCTGGCGATAGATATTTTTGGTATAGGAAGCGCTTCTCCAGCTCGAAGATCTGCTGATTGGAGAATGCTGTGCGGGACTTGCGTTTCTTCTTTGGATTGGATCGCGTGGCAAATATGTTCAGCGTGGCGGGATCTGCAATGCAACAAGATTAAACATTAAAGACGGTATCAGCAAAGGCATCGATTCAGTTAGGTGTGATTTTCATGGTATCGTAAATTATTGAGCGATCAGTCAACTTTTTATATGCCTCACACGTATGGTCGTAAAACGGAAAAGTTTATGGGGCTTTTGGCCTAGTAGGAGAGTACCAGGTTTTGACCTTTCCCCAGCGATCGTTGGGAGGATGCTTTAATGACCGCATTTATGACCGATCTCTACGCATCCACTGGCACTTTCGATTCAATCAGTGAAATGCTCGTGGTTAAAACCATTTCAAACACACAATTCGATGGAATTCATAATAGACAATCGACACCAACAAATCGCTGGCCATAAAGGCAGGGGATTCTCTAGCTTCTTCGATTTATGCCCTCGCTTTTTATTGGCCACAACGCGTTGAATGATTTCCCCTGTGTTGTTTTCTTAAGCGATTTGCTGGGGATTTGATTTGATTTGGATTGGGATTTTGATTTTGATTGCCGGTATTTGTTTTTGGCATGTTTAAAGGTAATACGGCGGCTGATTGATGTTTTTACTGGTCGTTTCTTCTGTTCCTTTTTTTTTTTTTTGATTTTACGAAAGTATTTGTTGGCGGAAATGGCTTTCAGCCCAGTTGTACCCATTAGATGCCAGCCCAACCCCATTAGGTATTGTTTATTTATCGCGGGCAATTCAATTTTTGCGCCTTTCGGCTGAGTGTGTTTATTAATGTCCGATATTTATGCGCCAGCGGAATGATCGCGGTGAATGAGTAGAATGGAGTGCTCAGGCAAAGTATCAGCGGAAATGGCTGTTGCTCGGTTTGTTTATGGGGTTGAATTTTTGGGGAGAGAAAGATATATAGGGATATAGGGAGGGATGGGTCTCAGGAAGTACGAAGATGGCAGCTGCGCATTGGAAAGCCTGTCGGGGCAATTTCAATGTTGCTAAACATGTCCGACAAATAACAATTAAGACACCCGAATTTGGTCCTTGAAATGCAGTGTAAGGATGACGGGGTAGATTCCTTCCCTCTTCATTATTATACATTCCTGTGTCCTTGCGGTTAAAGTCGAAGTTCGGGTCCAAAGCCATTTTGACACTATCCCGGCGTGTTTATTGTGAGGTTAGATAATCTACCGTTTTGTGAACGCCCTTTGCCACAAATACTCAGGGGTTGAAAGGATATTTGGCGGCAGGAAGCATTTTCCATAAACAGGAGCAGGAACATGAAGAGTTAATTAAAGGTAAATGGTTGGTATGCCCTCAAGGCATTCAAAATGTGCGTGAGCAGTGTCATCGAAGGGGTTTTGCTAATACGTTAAACAAATTTGCTTAATGCGAGGCTTTAGATTAGTTTGCTATATAATTACTGGGTATCTTTATGATAATGAATTTAACCAGACTAAGGAGTGAAGTCTCTTTAGTTTCACTTATTTTTTATGAACTTTGATGTTTAAACAGTTATTTAAACAAATTGTTATTAGGTTTATAAAGTTTATTTTATTAATAAAAATTTAATGATCAGTCTAACTTATCTAGAATCCACCGTTAAATGTACCTGCAGCGCCCGCTTCATTAGCCAGCTCAATTTTCTTCATTAGCCAAGTTTAATTTGGCCACCACTTGCCATCAATACCACGTCCTAGCCACGCCTCTAATTAAAAGCCATGGCAAGCCTTCTCCTGGCCAAAAACTGGTTGGAGCCAGCGATGTGTTGTGGGTGTGTTTTTGGCCATTTGTTGAGCTTTATTAATTAAGCAAAGACTCCAGTTCGGGGGGCTGGACCAAGTCGGAGCCTGGTTAATGGCTTAACCCACATGCAGAGCGTATGTCAGTTGCGGGACTAACAACCACCCAGACGGTGTTAAAGTGCACGGCTATTTGCCGAAAGAATTACGACCTGGTCACCCACCCACACCGCCACCTCGACGTGTCGTGGTGTCCAACAAACAATGTCATCAGCATAACTAATCATTGTGACAGCCGGCGGAGAGTTGTCGGTGACACCGAACCACCAGGCCAAGGAGCTGCTGCTCCTGCTGTTGTCTGGAAAGTAAGCATAACTTATGCCGCCCGGCAGCGTTGCTAATTGAGACACAAACAAAATGACGCATTGTCCTTACGCAAGTGGGTTGGGTCGCCTTCTAATACCGGGAATAGCTACACTCGCCGAAAGTCAGTCTTTGAAGATTATGATGTGCCTTTTAGAGTTAAAAGAAGGTATTTTAAAAGGATCTTTTCATACATTCTAGGTTATTAACGAATAACATTTTCTTAGTACTTTGAACTGGCAAACAAAACAGCTTAATCTTCCATGAATCGGAATAGCTGATAGGATTTAAAAGCTAAGAATCTGCTGCTTATGGTTCCAAATGATTTTCAGTTATAAAGTAAATTTAAAGGAATAATTTTAACTTATATATAGTCTATTATATGAGGTGATCACAGATTTATTTTTCCTAAATGAGTAAATATATATTTTTGGAAATGGGAGGCGAAACATAGACATTTCTATGTCTTTTTGAGATCTTCTGAATGAGGTAATTGTAGGCCTTCGTTAATCCATTTCTTCTTCAATTCTTGTAGTTGCATGAAGGTAAAAGGTTGCTCGCCATCACTTATATTTAATAACTATTTAAGTTGTAGATTTGAGATATCAAATAAGGGTCGCCTTTTTATGTTAGTTAATAAGATTCTTAAAATTACAATTTAATAACTATTAAACTATTCTTCTGGCCATCTAGCACTAATGATAAACATCTTCTCTTGACTGACAAATGAGTCGATTGTGACACCTTTCTAACCACTGAAATTTCTTCAAGTGCATTAGCTCAAAGCGATTCGAGATGGCGTGCCTTATCAGGGGCCAATCTGAGGCACAGACCTGGTGCGCATGGTTGATGGTGTGGCTGGTAATTAGGCAAATTAGCTGGACTCTGCTACTGGGAGGCACATAAATTAACAGCAATTAATTAAATGCTCGCTGCTTAAATCCAGATCACGGCCAGCTCTTCCGCTCCGCGCAGCCATTGGAATTCTTTTGGAAAATGAGCTGCTGCCCAAGTCGAAGCCAGAATAAGGCTCAAAGTGCCAGGGCAATTATGTTGATTAAGTCCGAGGGCGAGGAACGATTCAATTAAAGCCAGCTCCAAATCAATCAGCCGAGATCAGCCAGAGGCCGAATATGTGGTGGTAATGGTAATCTCCAGGGGATGCACGCATAAAGGCGAACATCATAATAAAAGGCCGTCGAGATCACAATCTTGAGATACTTTGGCTCTCGATCGGTGCTACCAAGATGCGTATCGCATCATATCGGATAAGGCTAATGCTAATGCCCAGGGAATATGCTGGCTTCAATGCTGAGCCACAAGGTGCCTGCTGTTCACACGCTCTTCAAATGCCTCGAATAGCAGCGGACCCTTTGAAAGATGAGTTGAGCTGAGTTGGTAGGTAGGTAGGAGGTAGGTAGCCAGGCTCGCCTGGATTTGATTTGGCTCGGAGGAGAGAACCAGGCCAGAAGCATGACATGAGGAATGCGATTCGGGCTGCCCAGCGGAAGACTCAATTAGAAGCTTGGACTTTTCGGGGGATTTACGACCGCAAGGAATTTCACATTCTTCCAGGGGTCCACTTTGGACTCGTCTCACTAAATACCTGCCAATAGCTTTATAAGATTGCCGCCACCGCAGAGTTATGACAAAAACCGGCAAAGGACAAAGGCGACCTTCGGTTCCTTTTCGAATGCAAAAGAGTTGGGCTAAAAGCGCTAATTATGGCCAGAGGAAAAGAAGACGGAGCTTGAGAGCGGCAGACCACAAATTGCGTTGTCCAGAAGCTCGAAAGCGTAATCAAAAACTAATTTTAATCCTGTTTGGGGTTCACTCCCGCATTGCTTCCACTCTAAAACCAAATCCCAAAAAGAAACACTGAGAAACCCGAAAGATGAGGAGAGGCCTCTTTGTGATCCGATCGGATCAGAGATCTTTTTAGCGGTAGGTCCCGGTTAATTTATTCTAAATGGCTTTCTGAGATCCCCGAAACAACACGAGAAATTTACTTATGACGTTGCCGGCGTCTCTCATTCTGCCTTTCCAATAGGAATATATATACATATATATAACCGCAGAATCTGGCAACTGGAATCCGAGATCCCAATGATGATTCAGACCGGATCAAAGTCGATGGCGGGCCCTGCATATTTTTCTCACTTTGGCGTGTCTGCGTGTTGTTAGCAATGAAATTGATGAGTTCGAGCAGGTTATAAAACCCGATACCTTTTGGCTACCTTTGTTTGCTGGCTCTTTTATTATTATTATTGCTGTTGCTGTTGCTGTTGCTGTTGGTGGACCTACGAAAGGCCGAAACACAATAACACAAATTAATATAAGAAGATGAGACAAATTTAGCCGCCGACAAAGTGAGCTGGCCACGGAGATTCCCATTATCATTACGGATCGAAGGGGAGCGCGGAGGGGCGCAGGGCGCAGCTCTCCATAACGAGAAAGTTATAAATTTTGGTATTTTCTTTTCGATAAATGTATATTCAAGCTGGCCGGCGACTTGTCGACTGGTGGGGTCTCTTCGAGCCCTGAACTCGAAAACTGTCATTGTTGGCCGCTTGTTTACACCATCGTAATGCGTCCAATAACTTTTTGTATTTTGTTGTCATTTGTACCGCCCCTGAGAACTTGGAACTGACTGGATTTTTTTTTCAGGTAACCGGAGTTATTTTAAGTCCAAAATGGACGTTTTGGGAGAGGTGCTGATGGGTCTGCTAGAAGGGATTTAAGTCTAAGTGGCATCAAGAAGATCAAACAGATAAGATAGCCATCCCTCTCAGATAATATTTCATAATATATTTAAAAGTTTAAGCTTAGGATGTTTTTGGAAATGTCAATCTTGAGCGGTGGCGCTCTTAAAAATCAACCAAAAAGAAACCAATATTAAATTAAATACTATTTTTTATATGGTTTTTGCTCTTCGATATA